CCTTCACTCAGGGTGTCAAAGCAATATGCAGTTCCCAAAACAACACTGTTTGTCTTCAGGCAAAGCCAAAGCATCCATCCTCAACCGAGTCAACTTGTACAATTGTTTAAAAGGTGTGCATCTATGGATAGCAATGCTGCACGTCAACAGTTTCATTGAAACCGAGTTAAACTTACAATAATTATTAAACATTCTGAAAGTGCAGTCCATCTCACTCAACTCTCGCGACACACCTGAATTAATCAAATGCAGTGTTTATTTCTGATTGACCCAGGAGTTCCCAGACTTCTTCAACATCTTGGATGAGGTGGTTTTCATAACAAATGGCCTCTTCTTGCACGTTGAAACACTCTGGTGTATTTGCATGCGTAACAATTCACCGGATCGGAGTCAGACGAATTTGGGGGTCGTATCAGGTAGCATGAAGGCAGGGCAATTGCGAACCTCCATGCCATCAGGCGACTCGTCGGCTTGCTCGTCATGCGCCTCCCCGCGGGACGATCGTCAAAAGAGTCTCAGGAATGCGGATGGGAGCGTGAAGGAGACAGCAAACGAAAGTGGGAGGAGACTAGCATCCGTCCGCGTCCTCAATTCCGGCAAGCGGACAGGATTCAGAGCCTCTCTCATGACACCAAAATCATCTGCCTAGCCCGCGTTGACACCTTGAATGACCTATCCCTTTGTCGACATTGCCACAACTTCAAACGTTTCTCAGTTTTCAGAAGTAGGCAGTAACAGGCGCGGAACTCTTCACCCTTCAAGCCATTCGCACGCGGAAGAATTATCCACGGCGGGACGATCCAAGCCAAGGGAAAGATCATATGTAACAAGGGACGTTACCCAAGTGATGACTTCCAATTTTGACCAAAGGTTGGTCATTGAAAGCACTCTCAAAACGAAGTCTAATGCTACTAAAGCATGCGATAATGAAATAGGTTTAGGGTGGATTTTTGAACAGAGCACTATCCGATAATGCAGCTTTATTTACCGGATTTATAATGCATTTTCTCTGAAATAAAGCTGCATTATCGGATGATGCTCTGTTCGAAAATCCACCCTTAGGCTCGTAACTGGCGGTACGCATTGCGTAATTTAATCCGTCACGCAATTAAACCCACACCTTCATGATGTCATTTTTAAGGAGGTTGTACAAATTTTTTTTTAGAGGACCTCCTTGCTATCTATGTGGTTTGGAATCAATATGTCACAATGTCCTGCGCCAGTTGCGCTTAGTAGGAGGTGCACAGAAGTGTAGAGAGGCAGGCATTTGTAGGATAAGCAGGCATTCGTGGACAGACCGTAGAAACTTGGGAACTTTTTGAAAAAATGAATAGGAATTAGACAGGGCATTTGCCATGGCGAGGGGAACTGTATTTTTTAAGAGACTTTGGAAAGTGCCATCTTGAGCGAAGGATGCAATCGAACGGTAGTACCGTTGTGGTCTTTCTAACAGGAGAAATGGGATGTAACAGGCTGGATATTTGCACCATTCTAGAACGGTTGCTTCTCTCAGGGCTGCAGCAAGTTCCACGCGGAGTTGTTGAATTCAGAATGATAGGGAAGATCAGATTATTGAGGTGTTGTCGTTCATATATCGTCAAGCGATTCGTGCCGTGTATGAAGAGCACCGCAAAGGCAAGTGATGGATATAAGGTAAACAATTTCCATCCCTTCGTACAACATCGTGGGAGAATTCCGTACCGTTCGGGGCTGACTGCATTTGGAACCTATGATTTCCAGGTTGAGGGTCATGTTGAACTTAGAAGGGTTTGATGTCATGACCTTCTTCGATACCACTGAGGGAGAATACTTAATGAACTGGTCCAAATACCCGTGTGGGCCAAAAAAACTCCGACAGTTTTCAACGATGCACTACGCTTCACTCACTGCATACATATACTTTTCATGAACTTATTCCTAATGGATAACAAATGAGTCAATGAATATCGGTTCAGAGAGTTTTCTCAAAATTCATTCGGAATTTCTCTTTCGGAATATTTTTGCGGAACCGTTCGTTTCAAATGTCAGACTTGTCATAGATATGATATCGTTCAAAACTTTGATTTGAATTAATGGATTAATGGCCTTGTTGACTTTCAAATAAATGAAAAAATGCTACATCCTAGGCTAATCTTTTTTCGTCAAACCCTGCAGACTTAGGCTGACGTAAAACAAGGGGGCATCAAGGGACTCGAGGACGTCGTTGTCGACGATGGATGGACGGCCAGAGCGGGGTTTGTCTTGAAAGCTTGTGTCTCCAGAACGGAACCTTTGACACCAGCGCTGGGCATCGCGTTCCGTGAGGGAGTCTTTGCCCCATGCTTGGATGATGTTGCGGGAAGCCAAAGTCACGTTATGGCCTAGCTTAAACTCGTAGAAAAGGCACACCCGGATTTGCTCCGATACCATTCTTAATCCGAGTGCTGAAAGACAACGCCAGCCAAACATAATGAAAATAAAACCATATGCACGTGATACACGGCAAAACAAGCTACAATTTGATATATAACGCATGGTATGAAACAAGTGCAACGACGTCCAGTGAGCTTTCCAAGTTGGCACTCCAAAAACCGACAATACTTTTTCCACAACCTGATACTTTTCAAATATCTTCAACAGTTTCAGAAATTCGTGAGCTCATATGAACAACTAACAAAAACTGCGTTGCCGCGCGCTCAGACGCAGACAGCATTGTGACCTTCAGTCGCCGTCCATCACTGTCCCGTCCTGTGGTAACGTAATTTTTGCTTGGTGTTTATAAGAGGTCCCAAATTTCTGAAACTGTTGGAATATATTTGAAATGTAAGTACACCGTTTTAAAGCTTATTCATTCCTCTTTCTAATGCCGTAAACCACATTAAACTAAGTGTAGTGAGTGCAATTTGGTGTACAGGTCATGAAGATTCACAACAAATGAAACTCTCGTGTTTCCTGTACTAATACTTTCTCATTAATCAACTGAATCTCAAAAGAGACGCTTAAATTAAGTAATTATTCGCAAAATATATTCCATGCTTCCCCCCCTCTTCTTGACAGCAACCCCCAATCTTCGAGTCTTCTATTCAATTAAACTGGACGGACATGGTTCCACTCTTCTTTCAGCACGAGCCTTAATCGATTCAAGTTGCTTAATTTCATATTTGAACGTCTACTTCCAACAGACTCCACACACAGTAATCTATTGGATTCCAGTCAAAGTGTAAGGGGTCATATATGTTTTTTTATTATAAATAATTTCTGCAACATACGGTTAGCTAGACAAGTTTATGAGAATCAAGCCATGTAATTTAGAGGAGTTCTGTTGAAGCACATACGATTGGTCACCGAACATACGCTGTTATATAGGTATCACTTTTTTTTTCTTTGTTTTTACTGGCCAAGCATAAATATGTACGTTATATATGGTATGAATATTTACGGTCCACCCTGTATCGTTGAAAACTGTCATTTTTTTGGCCCAACGTGTAGAATGACGCATGCTGGGTCCAATGGTTTTTTCGAAGATCGTTCACCTTAGAGGAAGTCCTGATGCAATCAAACTTATCTGCGATTTCTTTGAAGTGGCTATTATCACGAGTGATACTTGCAGAGTCCTGCATTTTGGGATTCAGGGCGAATCCCCTCGTCGCCATGTCATTGAGATCGAGAAACTCGCTCGGGAATTGTTCTAGTGGCAGTTTACTCATGCCAACCACATAAGAACTCAATATGACCCAAAGAGAAGTGACTGCAAGACGTAAATCTACAACTTGCCAGTTGGCAAAACTTAGCATTCATTAGGAGATTAAGCATTTCGTTGCTGTTTGTGCCGGCAGATCGGGGTATTCCGCTGAGGCAACCTTTTGCAAAACGGGTGAAGTGGGAAGCTCTCCGCCATGAGAAAACTCGCGACGAGTTGGCAAGGGTTCGGCGAAAATTATTACCAATTCCTTTACCAGATATCTGGCAGAAACTGAATGGGATCTATTTCGATCTGGCGTTTCGGCTGCAGTAGTGAAAGCGCAGGTATGTCGTGAAAAGCGAATCGGAGTGACACGGTGTAACACCAAGCGGACTCCCTGGTGGACACCAGAGGTATGGCTAGTTGTTGCTGCCAAGAAGGCAGCCAATACCGCATATGCGTCCAGTAGGTCGGACCCTTCGCGGGCGTTACAGAGAGGCACGAAAAACTGCTGCTTGAGTCGTGGACGAAGAGAAACAGGAGGCATGGAAGAAATTCGACGAAGGAAATTGAACAGGGAAGGTCTTGGTTGCCGAAGCAGAAATACTTAAACCCACTCATGATGAGCTCGGATGTACCCTACTCGGATCCCATCTGCGTGGAGAATAGTCTCACCATGGAGGAAGTTCAGAAAGCTATGCCTTGCTTGAAGAACGGGAGGTCTCCTAGTGTGGACGGAATCAGGGCAGAGACCCTGAAAGCAATGGGCATCGATGGGTGCTCGTAGTTGCGTTAGGGTTTGTCGAACCGCATGGGAATCGGGGACGGCACCGATGGACTGGCAGACCGGTGTGGTATTTCCTCTTTATAAGAAGGGGGACTCGAGAGAGTGCACCAATAGCCATAGAAACACTCTCCTCAGCATTCCCGGTATGGTCTACGCCAAGGTGTTTGAAAATAAACTTCACGCGGTCGTTGAAGAACCCATCAATAATAGTGCGGGTTTCACGAAGGGCGCAGCATCACGAACCAGCTCTTCACCAGATTCTCGACATAGGGAATAAGCCTAAGAGGTTTAACGCCGCTCACCGGTGGGTCACTTCGTAAGGAAAGTGTTAAAGCATGCTCCAGAGCAAAGCACCAAGGGGTTTATAGCAATAACTGTAAGTTTAACAGGTGCTCGGTATTGATGAACAACTTATTTTGCTACGTATTCAACTCGCCATTTGTATATGGTGCGATAAGCGCTCACACGATCAATCGCGCAGGAGTACGATCTGAACAAGTTTTCGAGCGAGTCCGCGGTGCTTCTCCAGATTGAAATAAAAAAAAGCCAAAGTCATCAACATGAAAACATGAAATTCCATAATTTATTGGGACCTGTGTCCAGTCCTGTGGGATTACCGCATCAGGATAAGAGGCTCAATTGGGGAAAACAAGGGAGAACCTTTGAATCCCAGCTCCAATGACCCAAAGCCAAGTCTGGTCCCTACAAAGAAAATGACAGAAAAAATCGGCAAGTATTTTGTAGTAAAGAGCAAGAGAGAAGATGAAGGACAGTCAGATTTGATACATACTTGCAATAAGACAGGAGCATGGCATGAATGTCAGGAATGGATGAAACTAGGATGTGCATCACAGAGATCTGGAAATGAAACTTGCCAGCTCTCTCCTCCAAAGACCACTGAAGGAGGATCAAGCGCTGGTCCACTGAACATGTCACAAAGAACATTGGATCACTCAGGAACTTCAGACCTATTGGATAATAATTACTATGGTCAAAAGGGAATTCTCAACTAAGTGGATTTTATTACTTTTTTAGTACATATTATATAAATATAATAAATAGATGGAATGAAGGAATAATTCAGATTTATCAGAATTGTTCCTTCAGGAATGAAGGAATAATTCTGATAAATTCTAAAACATGAGCACTCCTCCATACACTCAGAGATTGGGAACTTCTATTTCTAGGAAAATACCTGTAAATGAAGACTGAACGGTAACTAAAACACAATTCATGAAAAACTGTGGCTAATCAGGGTATCTTGTACCAATGTTATACAGCTTATCCCAAGTAAGCCCTTTTCAAATACAGCTCTGGGTGACTTCTCCATGCCTAGCATGTCATATGCAATGTAGACACATATCATGACTAAGCAGCAAGATCTATAAGAGAAGATTTGGTGGAAAGGCTTGGCTCTTTCTTTTAACCCTTTAATTGCTGAGTCTTCAGTAGCTGGGAGCCCCACCAGTGCTGAGTTTTCAGCACTCCATCATAGCTGTTAATAATGATTCCAAGGACAAAGTTTCTTACAGATATCATTTAGTTTTTCACTCAAATTTCTTTATCTACAGTAAGAGGTGATGATGTTCTAATGGGAATTATTTCTCAGCCTCAAAGAAGCCTTTGTGTTTCCTCTTCAGAATCAGAGCTGGAGTCTGTTCCTTGTTACTTATAAACTTAATAAATCTAAAAGCAGTCATTCAACATAGGTGAGGGGCAACAGATTCCCTTGGCTTCTTTTACATTGCTTTCAGGTCAAGTTTAGACAAAGTTTAGATTTATTTTAATTTTAACTGAAGCAAGGAACAGGCACCTGGACTCATTCTAAGTACTTTCATCAATGATATCTTCTCTACTATCAACAATTTCTTCATCACCACAATAAAAATAAAGCAAAAATTGTTCAAGTTCTTGCCACTGCAAAACACCTGTGATATTGCAGGATGCTATTTATAAAGAGCATTTCATGTTGACATGAAAGAAAATTCACATTATTTGTTCACATTATACCATTCCAAGAAAAAACCTAGTGCCCTCCCTGAGCTCAAGTGGATATTGCCCTCTCTTTTCTCATTCATTGCTTGAAATTCCATCCACTGATCACGAAGATTAACTTATGGTTTGAAGGTCTCTTAGTTCCCCTTGAATTAGGATATAGTACATGATAACTCATGTAGGGGTTTCTATAGGGCGATCAAGGAATGATGGAAGGGATTGTCCTATCCACTACCTCTCTACTGCTTGTTTTCTTTTGGAATGGTGTATCTTTATACTTAAGGCCAAGGACCTGTAAGCAGCTCCTGAGGTTTCTCAGCAGATGGCATAACACTGTATTAATATTAGTATATGGAGATCTTGCTAAATACTTTTTAAAAAATGCAGGAAACTCAAATTATGTACCCAGGGTGCAGCAAAAGTTTGGTGACAGATGTTACAATTTATTAACATTTTCTTTGTGAAAATGTTACATTTCTGTGAAAGCAGATTTGTTTGTCTCCTTAGCAATCTTCAGTTAAAAAATCATGTCTCTATCTTTCATAATTACATAGTTATGGGTTGCCAATTCCAGAGGAATGGAATAATAAATTTGCATTTGGTTGGAAAATCTCCATCAGAAATTGTTCAAGCACTCAGTGTTGTGAGACAAATGGTGCACAGAACCATTGCACAATATCAAGAACTTGGCCATGCTCAGGAGTGTCCTTGCAATGGAAGACCAAGGGCCACAAGCTCTCCACAAGAGACAAACACCATCTGACGCAAAATTAGGCAAAATCTGAGATGCTCAATGTGAAAGATTGCAAAAAATGTCAGAATAAGAGGGTGAACTGTCAAATTGTCAAAGTGGATCTTAATTGAAATCCTTAAAGCTTCGAAAAGCTAATTTTTTTAAAATGAAAGGATGAAAAAGAAAAGGCTTCAATAATGTAAGCTCCAAATGACATTTTGGAAATCTACATTACAGAATGATCCTCTTCAGCAGTGAAAAACATTTTCAATGGTGAAGAAAAACTCAATGCTCAGAATTCTTGGATAATTGCATCATCATCTAAGGAAGCCAATGCAATGGGTAGAATTGTGTCTCACTCAGTTCATCTTGCATCAATCATGGTTTGGGCTGGAGTGACCTCTGATGGGAAGACTCCACTCATTTTCGTTGAACAGGGGGTCAAAATGGACAAAAACATCTACCAAAATCAAATTTTGAGGGATGTGGTGTTGCCTTGGTGCCAATAGCACTATGGAGATTGACACTAGTTCTTCCAGCAGGATTCAGCTCCTCCTCACAAGGCCACCACCACTCAGACCTGGTGTTGAGAGTATTTGCCAGAGTCCATCTCTTCAAAAGATTGGCCGCTATATTTGCCAGACATAAATCCTATAGACTTCTGCATTTGGCCAATCCTTGAAGCTAAGGCCTGTGCTAAGTCTCACAAAAGCATTGCTTCATTAAAGTGCTCCTTGTTGAAAGCATAGGAGGAAATCAACACAGACACTTTGTCCGAAATCGTCGATCAGTTTCCAAAGAAGTTGGGCACTGAATTCCACCCAAGGAGGGCTCTTCAAAAACCAATAAATTTAATTATTTTTTTGCTAATGTTTATTGTTTTTTACTACATTTATTCTTTTTCCTGTTATTATGGTTAAAATAAATAGTTTTCACCTGTCACCAAACTTTTGCTCCACCCTATATACATATGTGGTCATAGTTGTGAGGCCACTAAAATAGTAGGCTGTATAAATATAGGGGGAAGCACTGAAAGGGTTATTTGGCTTGGTTGCAGCAAATCTGAAAATGTACCATTCGAAGAGAGCCTTCCATGACATTGACTTACACAATATTGCTGAAATATTAAATTGTCACCATTTAGAACCTTGAACAAGTCACACTAATTTTGATCTGCCTTGCTTGGACAATAAAGACAATGTTCAATGTCATAAAAAAAAGCTGAATAATGGACATTTTGGCTCTTGGAAGTGGAAATGGACACTACCTGTGACTTGAGCGGAATGAAGATGGGAGAAAGTATCTTTGGCAAGGAGAGATAGATCTGGGCAAGGAGAGATGAGGGAAAGGGTGATTGCATTGTCATCTCCTCCACTCCCAAGTACTATTGAGTTTCTCTTCTGTACATTTTTTATATGTACTACATCCATGGCATTGATCCCAGACTGGTGAAGGGCAAAAGGCTTGTGACTTCGCCATCCATCTATAAGAGCAATACAATTACTTCAGACTCATTTTCCTTTCCATCTTCAGCAGAAAACATTAAGAACCTCCATAATGTCAAAAGGATTGCCCAGTTTGCAATATTTGTTTGTATGATCATGGAAAGAAGTAGCCAGTAGAGATTGATTGATATATCAGTTGCCAATATAAATGGTCTAGTATTGACTAATAGGCTCCTTCATTGCTGCTGATTTTAGCTGAGCTCTACAAACAAGTGGTTGGAGTTAGAATCCACAGTACCCTCCTCTTCAGTATTCTGCTTGCAGCTACAATCCAAAATACTATTCTTTTTGCTTCTATAGCTAGCCTACCATTTACAAGGAAGACTGTAGTTTAGGTTAATTAAATATGAGTAAGTAATAAGGGTAAGAAAATGCAGAATGGAGACCTACCTTGAGTGCAGGAGAAGAGTCGAATGTGACCATCTGTGGCCCAGGCCAGAAGATACAAGATTGAGTCACACAGGAACCACTTCACACCCAAGGGGCAGTTCTTAAGAGCCAGCAGAGCCAATTCCAGGTTTAACCCAGATGAATCTTGGAACTTCACCAGCCTAAGGTTTCCACATGAATGCAGATTTAATTAATATGAACAATTTGGTCTTGAAAGAAAGAGATGTGAATATCAACCTGACTGTGCCATCAGACAAGGCAACTGCCAGCAAAACATCTTGCTCATTATGAATGGAGTCAAGGGCCATAATGCGAGTATCACATTCCTCTCCATTTTCAAAACCAAATGCAGCAGGGAGGGTCAATGAAGTTAAGTTTTCCATGAGGACTTGAGGGAACCCTATGAGAATATGGAAACCATGAAATTTTTACAAAGAAATAGCCAGAAAGAAGAAATAGAAAGCCAGGAATATAAAGAATGAGATGAAAGAATAATAAAAAAGATGAGAATACAAAGATGAGTTCATGATACAACATGAAGAACAAATAAATGAATGAAATCAAAAGACTTTAGTTCTAGTTCCCACATTGGATTGAGAGACAACTGCAAATGCCTCATGATAGGGTTAAGGAAAGCAAGTTAGGGATACCCCACTTTAGTTGCAATCTTTCAAAGAATGTACAGTTTCTGAAGATAAGCCAACAGGAAATGTCAAGCACAAAGAATGACAGCAAAGAGAGCACTATATAAGGTGCCTCAAGATGGGGGGTGCAAGACACAGATATCCAGATGAATGTATGAGGAGCCTAAATTCAATTCTCTTTTTTACTTTTAATTCACTCAAAATAGTATTGGTAAGTAGAAAAAGTCTTAGCACACCTCATTAGGTACATCATAAATGGGACATGCAAAAAAAAACGTTTCCAGAGTTTTACCTGATTGTAGAGACAGTCTCCAGGCACATAAGTGAGACCGGCCACTGCCAGAGAAGAGAAGAGTTGAGTCCTTATATACCAGGATGGAAAGGGCCCTGACACCTGTTGCATGATGAACACAGAACCCCGCAGGAGCGAAGGACTCATTCCAAACTCCCACACTTGTATCTTCAGACCCCGTGATGAGAAAGACATTATCTGAGTCCTGAATGGATGCAATACAGTTGATTGTCTTCCCATGCATCCAATCCTGCAGAAGGAACTTCCTCAGTGTTACTATACTCATTGCCAAAAAAAAAAAGGGGGGAACCAAGAAGTTTAGTGATCACGGAATTTGGTACACAAGCTTGTACTAGCATACTATGAAATTGATTAGAGTTTCAAGTGTGTGGGATGAACATTAAGACATCCACATCAGTTAGTTTGTTTTAATGCTCACCCATCTCAGATTTTTATGCAAAAAAAAAAAAACATTAGCACTCTAGTGAAACTCTGGAATACAAATTTCATTTCTACATGTTAAATGGTTCTTGAGTTACAGTGCTTCCCATTGACTTTTGTACCTGCCTCATAATGTTATCCATGGGTGGCAATTGCTTTGTACTCCCTTCAAAATGATCAGCATGTATTGCATAATGTTTCGTACTCTCCCCTCCCACCCAGCGAGCAAGTGCTTGAGCACCATGAGCCATTCTCACCTTCACCTCTACTAGTTCTCATCATTTTATTTTCCAATCCCAATCAAATATTTATTGTCTGGTATTAATCTTTCTATTAAATTGAGGGTGTAATCCTCTTTTCAATCTGCCAAGCCTCGAGTTCCTTTATTATTCTGTAAGCCACTGGCACAAGAACCATCTAACTCTGAGTCATTTGCCACATAAGCCATCCCATAGATCTTATCGCCACAGGGATCAGTTCCTTTTTTCGTTAAAATTATTCTGTTGCAAAGCCTCAGAAGAGTAAGAGCAAATGCCAAACCTGTGACACCTTCAGCCATGGCACACCTTCATAGCATCACCAGCTGAGGATGTACAAAAATTTACCAAAAGGCCACATTTGCCAACAAACATAAATTATTAAATGAAAATCAAATAGATGCCTCTCATCCCAGGCAATTGGCATGGGAAAAAATTTGTAATTTTGTTTAAATTGAGGATTGAGCAGGGAGAAAATGGGCATGACAATTATCATGATTTTTTTATTATTAAGTATTGGCAAAAAAACTCAACCAAGCCAAAAAGCTACTAAATATTTGCACAAATTTTCAAAGTCAATTCAAGCCCAAAACATACATTGTACTCCAATAACAAAACTGTCCATGAACATGAATTTTTCTTTTTCAAAAATTTTCAAGTGAATGCATGAACCCTGGGATAGGTAGAAGAGTTTCTGGAATCAATAAAAAATTTTTTCTATAAAATAATTCTGCTTCAACAGAGCATGAAATGATGACTCACAGTCAAAGAAGCAAGGGGATGGGTCTCCTTGAGGATGCAAAGGCCACTGTCCTTGATGTAGACAAAGACTAAGGACAACAAGGAATGCTGAACATCCAGATAAATGTCCCATGATCGGTGGCCTCCTCCACAATTCATCTTGAAAACAGACACCCCACTTGAAACCTCCCACAGGCAAAAGTCAGCCTAGAAACAAAGGGGATGGAAAAAAAAAATTCAATACATTTCCCAGCAGCATCAAAGTATCTTCATTAGGCTATCATGGAATTGCATTGCAGTGGAATCTAGAGATTTTCCATATTGTCAAAAATTAGAATCTTCAGTTTGTAGCTTTTTGATAAGAAAAAGTTAGCATGAGGCACATCTCCACAAGCTCTTCCATGTAACATTCAATGACCAGGATCTATTACTGAAGTGAAATGGTGATTTCTCTTTTGCCATGGACACTCACAGCATGGAATCCACAAGCCAAGGGGATACAGAAGGACCAAAACATGTTTGCAATCCATGGGGTGGGAGATGAAACACGCTGAAGTGAGACAAAGTGACCAGAGGACTCTTGCTGAAAAAGACAGAAGGTCCCATCTCGTCCACAAGAATACCACAGGTTGTCTCCTACATCTCCAATAGATGTCACTCCATGAGATCCATGAAGTTTGCCAAAGCGTTGCTGCAGCTTCACAATTGACTCTCCTCCTTGCTGCATGAGGCAATAGCCAAGGATATTCAACACTATTGGATACAAAATACACTTAAAAAGCATCCTTTCACATGGGTTTTGCAAAGATGTTTTGAAAGGCACTTTTCTGATTTGGTATAAAAAGTACTAATTTTTTTATTTACCTCTACAAAGTTCTGCCATCTTTTGGCATTTCATTCTATCCATGTTCAACTTCAATATTCAGAGTCACCAAATTCTCAATTTAACTCTTCTGTTACTGAGTGGGGTCCTAGATGTACCTATGTTAAACTAATATTAAAAAAAAATCAAATTTGTAAAACATTATTTTGTAATTTTTTTTAAGTGTGCTAAAATATGAGCTTTTGATATTACCAGTGCAAAAATTATATTTTTACATCAATATTAGGCTGGGGTACTTCAAGTCCCCCCTCTGTAAAAAGTGATCACTGATGACCTCAGTAACAGAAGGGTTAATATTGTGTACACTTTGAAAGCTGATTTGCTCATGAAAGAACATCATATTCACAAAACAATATAAAATATCATACATTCACAGGCATCATTAATATTTTTGCAAACCATTCCTCACCTGTATGAGTGAGTCTTTGAGATGATAGATGGAAAGGGAGCCACCCTGATCTCCAACAAGAAGCCATGAACTTTGTGTCAAGTAATTGCAGTTTGGCCAGCATTTTTTTGTTTGCTTTATTTCTAAAAAATATCTTGATGCATTCTTCTCCACATCTGGCAAATGCATTAGGATGTGCAATCCATTCAAATGATCCATGAAATGCTTGCCAGCAACATAAATGCCAGACAAGCTTATTCTTGTAAAAGAACAAGAAACACTCTACCAAATAAAAGATGAGATGGTGCATGTATCCAAGAAATGAGGATGGAATCTGTGTCAACCCATAATACAGATTGCATTTTGGCTCCATCTTGAGCAACAAGATGCAACTTGGATGAAGTCAATTTCCATGTCTCCCAGTCTTTACCTGTGGCAAAGAAATAGACTTTTTAAACTCTCACTCAAACTTCTGAGGGGGTTTTTTGGAGGGAAAAGTTTGAATTTTTCTTACAAAATGAGAAGACACACACAAGTCCACCTTGGCAACCAAGAACAATCTTGACAAGAGATGACTTTGAAGAAAATTTATCAATGCATGTGACCCCTGTTCTTTCCCCCACATGTTCCCACTTGGATGTGGGAATTTCCACAAGAAATATCTGGCCATCATAAAGGATCACAAAGCAGCAAGAATCATCAAGAAGGGTCAAGAGATAGGCTTTTCCCAGTGGTGGATATGTCATCTTTCCATTTGGGCTCATGTGAGAAGGCATGGTGATTCGAATGGAAGAATCTCCTCCACCAGTGAAGATGAGGTTTCTCAATGGGTCATAGTCAACACACCAGATGGCAGAAGATGGGTGAGGTTCCCTTTTTGATATTAGTTGGCCTTTCCAGTCCCAGATGCACAATAGGGAGTCCTGAATAAATTCAAACAGATTGAACATTTCAAAAATAAAATAGGCATACTTACCACTGTTATCCAGACAAAACATCAAACTTTCTTGGCATATTAAGAATTCAAAAGCTAAGGTATGTATTCAATTGTGAGAGAATGACTTTTGTCCTGATTCAAGAGTTTACAGGTTTACTAGAATGATTATGAGCAATTTTTTGCCAGGTCCAGAACCTCTTTGCCTTCAATGGAAGACTAAATATGAGGAAGAACCTAGTATGTACAGGGTGTCACACATTAATTACATCCATCTTAGAAATCCAAGAAAAATTGTTTTGCATCAAATCGAAGTTTTTTTCTAATACATTTTTTCTCTGCTTGTGTCAGAAAAAATGGTCAATTTGATTAGTGACAGAAACTTCAATGTTAATGCACCTTGCTATGGCAGTGGTATTTACCCATAGCAAGGGATGCAGAGGCAAGCTTTATTACAAGCACCTGAATTACTCTGTAAGTTTATCACAGTGACTCAGCCAGCAGAGATTTGTTACCCTTGTTCCACATGTGGAAAGTTTCTCCATTCCCTTTCATACAATCACTGCAAATATGAAAAAAAAAGATCAACCATGGAATAGGTTAATAAATTATCACAGACCTCTCCAATAGACAGGAGGAATGATGGTGTAAGAGCAACTGTCCGCACTCTGGCCACATGACCATACAGGACAAGCTGAGGTGTAATCTTGGCATGCTGCCAGAAATGAGAGAGAGCTACATCTTGGTTCTGGTCTCCCATTATGCTCCATGTGCGAACAGATCGATCGTCTGATGCTGTGGCCAAGACTTGCAGCTCTGGATCATACTCAATGGAAAAGATGACACCCTGAAAAATAAGCTCTGAATTGCTGCATCTCATCATTGTTCCAAAGAAAGATAATTAGAACACATCAGATGACAGTATTCATTTGAACCTACTTGGTGCCCCTTAAGTCGATGCAGAACAGGTGACTCTCCTGTATTTGTATCTGCACCCCAGATGAGAACTTCACAAACTACTGTTCCACATAATGCAATAGTTTCTTTTCCATCTGTCAATAATTTTCCACTGTAGCTGATTTTCCATGAAGACCACAAGTTAAGGAACATGAAATGACATCTGAGTGAAATAATCTCTGAAACTGAGCCTATTACTGAAAGAGGTAGTCAAGACTTGTGAAATGCATTCCAATAGTCAATGAGAGGGGTTGATGCTTTCAGAATCACACCAGAGTATAAGTCCAGTTATCTTCTCCCTTTGTTTTACAGAGGTAAAAATCCCAGGAGTGAGGACAGAGGTGGTTGTTTTGGAGAAGGGAAAGGCTCTTTCATGAAGTTTCCGAACTGTCACTGAATTTTGCAATAGGTGAGAAATTATCCTAGTCTACCACATTCTAGGGGAAATGCTGCTTTGATGCAGAATTGTTCTCACAGGAATGAAATGAAGTGCAAAGGTCTGGGAGCATTCATGAGTTTCATGGAATGCAAAAAAAAAAGAAGAACCATGGCTTTTAATCAATATATCTCTGCTTTTACAGAAGTTATTTTCATGAAAGATGGACTATTCATACATTGATAAGCTCCCAACAGTCTAAAAAGAAATGCCATACAACATTTATCAGTAAATGCAAGGGGATGAGCAATAATTTTAAAAACAAAAATGGATGGAAGATTCCAATCCCTTCAGAGTGACTACATTCCACCTTTCTCCTACTCCAAGCAAGCCAGGTGAAAACATGAAACGACCGAGAGTAAACTCTCTGTATTGATACTCATTGATTCATCAGTCATTAACAAGAAAAAGGCTCATTGAAACAATCTGTAATAAAATGCCAATCCAAATAATGAATTTCACAGGAAAAGATGTATGAAGTGGTATTATTAGCCTAATAATAAGTAATCACAGCACAAAGGTTTTTTCTCGTCTTTACTACCAGTAAAGGAAGTCTAACTTCCTTTGAATAATTGCTAATAGCTATGCCTCAGAATAATGAATTCCAATGAAATCTCACAAATCTCTTGGAAATGAATCACCCTTGTCATAGAACAAGTTTGTTAAAAAATTAATTCAGCAAGAGGAGAGACTTATTGGCTAAAAGATGGAGGCATGACAAGAGAAATGTCATGCCCTGCATTTGTTGGTCACTAAGCTGTTCCTGAAATCTATATGAGGTTTGCCTGTGCTTATTTTGAAAGAAAAAAAAAAGACCATAACAGTCATGTCTCTCAAACATCTGCCAACTGAAGTTCCTCACAAGTAATTCTGAACTAGCTAGCCAAGCATAGTGTGCCATGATGAACATAATGTTCTTTATTTTCTATTTTTAAATCCCCTTCATACATGATGTAAGGTGGGACCAATACTTCAGTGGCATACTCTAGGAAGGACTACAATAGGATTATGCATGATGCTATTTTGGCTTTGGGAGAGGCTTTGTTTAGGTCACTTCCCTGCAAACAAGGATCTGGTTCATAGAGACACTTAGTATTTAATCGAGACCACAGGCTCCAGAGGAGAGTTGGCTTAATTGGAGGGGAATCGTGAATTGGATTTCTGTACTTACATGTGCCATGAACACTGCATTCATTGAGTTAGAGCTTGAGAAGCCATTTTATGGATAATGTAAGCACCCCTGTTTCAGGCCAGTGAGGCTTAAATCTAGCATAATTAGTTAATCTAGTCATTTTCAAGCATTCTATCAACATCTTCCCCGCATGAGGACCTATTACTAGTGTTTCCTGGCACAGGGTGTCCACTTCCTATGGGAGTTGTATCAGTGTGGCCAAAAACTGGGGTGTTTACTCTAACTGCAACAACCTGTTTTAATTATCTTGGCTCTAAACTTTCTGATATAAAATCCAGTCATTTTCACATAATCCTATCTGGGAAACAAAATCCAAATATGTTACCAATGAAAAGAAGAAATAAAAATGCAAATGCAAAATAGGCATAAAATAAAGACCATGTGAAAAGCAAAAGGATACAGAATACACTTCTCTTCACACACTTTCTCTATCGTCTTGGATTCCAAAACAAATAGAAGTCGGTTGTGAGCAGTGAGAGCAGAAAATTCACAAGTTTCACCATTGCTTTGACTAGAAAATGAATGTAACAGTGCAGCATCCAAGATCCAGTCATTTTGCAGCCAGGATTTCTGAATCTTCATGCTAATGGGGCAAAAATAATATTTTGCTGCAATTGTAATCAAATGAGACAGTATCTCAGTAATTTTACTTTGCAATCAGATATTCTTTTACCTTATTTCCTCACCAGGCACTTCAAATGAGATGACTGACAGATACTTTTCACCAAATACAAGGAGTGCATTAGAAGAAATTTCTTTGATATTGTGAATGACAGTTCCAGGTGGGAGGACTTCAAGTGCATGCACTTTCTTGTTTGGATTCTCTACTTGCATCACTTGCAAGGTATTGCCCAAACCTAGAAGAGAGCCAGATTACAATTGCCATGCAATGCAAGCACCATAAATAAATTCAGCCAACCTTCTATATATATACCAAGTGGTGCAAAAAAAAAAAAGTCCTGTTTGATGCTTTATGAAATCTGCTGTGGATCACCTAGGCTTGCGATTTTTTCGTTTCACATTGGAAACACTACAAAATTTGTTTCCTAAAAAGATTCACATAGCTAGGTTGTCTAAAAAAAAAAAAAAAAAGAGGCAGTCTTTCAAGTTTAATCATAGAAGTTACCTATTCTGCACATGAGGTGGATGGAATATCAGTTTTGCTCAAATGATTTCTCTCCTTTGACACCATTAAGGCTGCTTCCTATACCATGCCATATTATACTATTCCAGTGCTGTGGCATTAGAACAGCACTGGAACTTCATCCACCTCATGCATGGAAAAAGTACATTTTATGACTCCACCTTGAATGATTGCCACATTTTGCTAAGGCAACCTAGCCATGTGCAACTTACAGGAAAGCAATTTTGCAGTGTTTCCAATGATAGGCATGCTTTTAGGTGACAAATGCCAAAATTGAGGCTTGGACCGATAAGTATATACCTTTGGCCTACGCTAGCCCATCGTAAGCTAATAAGGACTTAAATGAGCACAAATTTTAGCTTTCCCAAGGTCGGTTGGTAGGAAGGGCATTTGGCTCACCAAAGCAAACTTCGTTCGAGTTCAGGGCACGAACGGCGGTGATGGACATTCTGCAATCTTCCTTCTCCAGCTTAGCACTCATTCTCTCCATTATACCCGACTTAGGCCTAGCTCCAAAGAAGGCTAATTGCCTTTTACGATCTTGTCATTGGTCCCGACATTTAAAGTTCATCTTTCAGCTCTTGTGGAATCACCTCCCGGTCAACCTGGACCACTGTTATAGTGGAGGCGGACATGACATATCATCAGGGTTGTCCCAAACAAAGGCTAGGAAAGAGGTAGTCTGAAATTGCTTCGATGGAAAACGAAACGTGCGGGGATTCATTAGGAGACTTTCTCTGCGCGCTGACCAAGGACAAGGATCTACGGCACTAGATATATAAAAGCTTATGGCACTGAAATAGTAACTTCCCATGTCCCACAGAAGCACCTTAGCGCTATTACGAGCAACGTTCTTCCCATTTTCCACAGAATTTAGAATTGGGTGGAAGTCTTGACAGAATACAATGGTAACTTCATATACACCATTTTTGGATTGAATTTGTATCTCCCTTGCGAGCGGAGAACGGTGAGAACATTGTCTCTAGAGGAACCCCTTCACATGATACATAAAACTAGCCTTGAAGATGTCACTTCCTGCAGTCAATGAAAGCACTCCTTGATGTAGGGGGAATATAAATTCAATCCAAAAACTGTGTTTACCACCAATGACAGCATACACATATTTTCAATGCCTATAATAAACTCTCAACAAAAACTGCTATGTGAAATATGAGAAATTTATTCTTGAATTTCCATGAAGAACATGTGAGGGGATGAGAGGGATTTCTGGAATTAGTGAAGGGTTTGTTTCATTTTCTTGGTTAATCCCCATCAGCATCTCCAGCATCACGAGGCTTCGGCCCACCACTGGGTTTCGACATGATGATCTCATCCACCTTAAGGATAGTGCATGCTGCCTGTGTTGCATAACGCAAGCCCCACATCTTCATCAAATATGCATCCAGGATTCCTGCTGCCTCTGCATCCAACACAACTGACTTTCCCTCTGTCTAAGAAAATTGAAAAGATTGGAACAATTTGAAAATGAAAGAAGTCCAATTGTAGGCATGTGGAAGTGCTCAAGGAGGAAAAGACCATTGTAATTCATATTCAAGGAACAGGCTAAGAATGGCAATTTTGCATACTCCTAAGAGATTATTAGAAATGTTTTGGCTTCATTGGAGGCCAGTATGAGAAATGGGATGAAACCTACCTTCATACAGGGAACTTCATCAAGGGTTAAGGATCTTACTCATGAATAAAAGTACAATCCATCAATGAATCCATCATGTGTTCAACATGCTGCACAATTGATGGAGTTTCAATTATAGCCATTTTTGTGGATCGAATAGTTCAATGTGGTCACCTTGCTTTTGGATTTGTTTCTTCAACCACTGAAATACATTTCCTAATACACACTAACACATCAACATTCATCATAACACAGGTTTTTGACAAAATCATGCAATTCATTGTATATTTGAGACATGTTGCAGACAGCCCCCATGAAAAGCAATTCCTTTTAGTATGGTAAATTAAGGGCTGGGCAACAAGCTTCCAAACAGACACTCCCATGAAATAGCAAACAAATGAATGACTTGGAAGTTGCAATATTTGCTTTTCTCAATGCAAATACTGATGGCAGAATCAACTTTTTCTTTCCCACCAAATGGGAACATAGTATGGATGAATCTCAATGCATGGAACTCCAATATGAGGGAATCAGAGCTCAAACCAAGTCAATATCATCTCTAAACAAAACAAAAAAAACCTTCTCCAGCAGTCAGAAAAGCAGTTGTACCACTACCATCTTATCTCAAATTCAGGGTAGGTGAGTGCACAGTCATATTGGACATGAGTCACATATATATGTTCAAGGTTAATTCAAGCATTCTGAAGAATAATATATATGAAAGGATTTTAGACAAAATTTTAAGGAATTCTTGTTACACTTCTTCAAGTTAACTTCACTGTTACCTATCCCCAGCTTTCAAGCATTTATGTCACAGGTCTCCCACTGGTTTTTTGGTTATAGCAAGGTAAAGAAAGAAATGCTAGATTCTTGGTAGTTTTGCAGCAAAATATGCATGCGCTCAACTCTGTTACACATTATACATGCTCTAGTCTTTGTTCACAAACTTGCGTCATTTAAAGTCATACAATCAGAAAGTCATACAAAAGTCATACAAAATCATACAATCAGAAATCAGATCATAAGAAACTGCTCCTGAAAATGTGGTTAGCATAAGTAAGGGGATACAACTAGTGAGTCATGGCATGAAAAAGATTGAAAACTGCTGTTCTGCAGTATGACATATTCATGATGTATAAACCAGAATGGCCAATATCTCATGGATTTTCATATATATATTTCCTGCCATTACATTTTAATGCTTTGAGGCCCATCATTCAGTATTGCAGTATCTTAGCCTCTTTCTGAATCCCCTCATCTTGCCTAGCCTTTGCTTCCTCCTACAGGAAACATACCTGCACTGATCTGAGTTCCAAGGACTTTCATGCATCAAACCTACAACATGATAATGCCAATCTATGTCAAATCAAGCTTAGCATGTTAATACTTCCCCTGAGCTTCAAGTCATACATTCTGCTGACCAATATCAGGAATAAAACACTAATCACTTTGTAAACACTGTTCACTTCCTAATATTCAATGTATACACATTCCTTCAATGTTGTCTTTAGAGAGAAGTAAAGGTCCTGTTCCTGCAATTTTATGAGGCATCTCACAGCTCGAGTCTTCTCTGATGATATAGAATGAGGGAAAGAATATTCTCAATCCACACAGTAAGAAAGATTTTAAACCAGATCTTTTAATATTTCCTCCTATTTAGAGAATCACAAGCATAAAGGATGAATCAATCCTTATGCTTCCATTTTTTCCTTACACTTTCCACCTTCTCATGATAATATAAGAATTAACATAAAATAAAGCCTAAAATTGAAGGAATACCTCTATGTTGAAGCCTGCTTTCTTGTTCCCCTCCTGATGAGCAGCAAGAAGCTGAGCAAGAGCCTCAGTCTGCTTCACACCTGCATTCTCAGCCAGCATCTTGGGGAACACCTACATAATAGGATAAAAATCACCTGTAGGACTGGATGACCAATAAGAGATCAGAGATGGGGTGAGATTACCTGAAGGGCTTCAGCGAACTTATTAATGGCATATTGCTCAAGCCCAGAGCATGTGGTCGAATAGGTGGAAATCTGATGACTTAATTCCATCTCAACTGCACCTGCACCTGGCACAAGCCTACCATCCTGTCATGATTCATAAAGGTGTGTTGAAAATCATCCACTCTAGGTCCTAAGCACACCTTAAACACATAACATGGGGTCTCATTACAAGTCAAAGAATATTTATTCTTAAAACGTGCTTGCCTTGGTGAGAGTCTTGAAGCAGTTGACACCATCATCAACAGCACGCTCAATGTCATCCATGTAGTTATCAGTGGCACCACGTATGACAATGGTGGCAATGCGAGACTCCTTGCTGTCCTGCTTGAATACTACCACTGATGTATCTCCAATCTCATCAACATACACCAAGTCACAGTCACCCAGTTCCTCTGGTGTAGGGGCTCGCTGTGACAGAATACCAAATTCACAAACATGTACACAAGCAGCAAAATCTATGATGCTAGAAACAGCACAGTTGTATGCAAGTATTATATGCATTCTAGGAAATGAAATAAATTGAGAATGAGTTATTGAGCACAAGAACATTAATGGAATGGAAAATGAAGCTTCAATATGGGTGCATAGAAAAAATTGAAAAGCCTGATACATCATTACCATTTGCTAATGTAAAAAAATAGTGCAATGAAAATTCATAATACATTTTTTCCCAACAAGATATGATGGCTGTGATCATATCTTTCAGGATAGAAAGAATGTCTCACAATCTTAGGAAGAGCAGTGGCTGCAATAGTCTTGCACAGGCGTCGGACATCAAACTTTGAGTTAAGTCTCACTCCCATGAGCCCATACTTGTTCAGGTAATGGAGGGACATGTCCCCAAACTTCCCACCAGAGACAACAACTGTAGCCCCTGATTCAGCAATAGACTGAAGCTGTTTCTCCAGCATATTTTCCTCCCCACGGCTGTAGTTCATCAGCTCCTCTGCTGACCGGATCAACACTGTTCCCTGTTAAAAATTAGGATGAATCCCATATTGTGCTTATTACTGTTCATAGACAAAAGCACACCATTCATAAGTGAATGGTGAAATGTGTAGCAAGCACATTTGTCAAATTGCTTCCAGAAATGTGTTTTTATTGCTGCTGTTCTTAATTTCTGCATGTCACTACTCAACCAATAATTGGTTGAAATGAGGAATGCCAATTTAATGCTCCTCTTCAGGTTTCATTCTATGAGGGCTACACTAATGAAACTTGGACTGAAACTTTCCTGTCATACAACATGCCAGCATGGGCATGTTGCTAGACAATGTAAGTGCTGAAGAAGCACATGTTATAATGTGTTTTCATACCATCAGAGTGTAACAAGAATGACCAACACGAGTGCAGTGAAATTTTGAGTTAAGCTTGGAAAGTGTACAGTGGTTGTGTGAAATAACTATGAAGGCATATAGTCCAGATTTAGTGCCTTCTGGCTCTTTCCCCCAGCTGAGATCACATCCCTAGGGAGATGCACTTCTATGACCAATCAGAAAGCTGTACAGGGAATGCCAAACAAACTGGCAAGAAACAGCACAGCCTGCAAGTTGTGTTCCACATGAGGATTGCTCTATGAAACAAGCCCATTCTAAAGGAAGGCGGGTACTTCACAAGAGTACCTGATTAAGTTAGATACAGAAATACAAATACAATCTGAACCACCACTATGTGTTGCTGTTATGAAGTACCTCAGGAATTACAGAGATTAGGACATCAGAAATTACTCATTTGAGAACTCAAACATTTTTGCAAGGATGACAAAATAAAATATGCATATTGTTCCCAAAATATTCAGCAGCAATAAAAAAAATATCCTCTTTCTTGCAGGAATACTGAAGGTCTGATGGATGGATTGAGAACTGACTCAAACCCTGGAGGTTCTGAAGTAGTCCTATAAGCAAAGGGGTTTCCAACAAAAGTGCAAATGGATTTTTCTCAGTGAAAATAAAAATTCTGATATACAGTGATGAAAGTCAACCTGTATAAGTGTGATTATGAATACAAAAGATGGAAGGAGGATGGGTTGAACTACACCTCTAAACACCCCCCCTTCCATAACAGCATATGAACCTCATGAAAATTTTATGAGGCACACCTTGGTCTCAGTCTGCTGAAGATCCAAGGGGCAGGTGAAAACTGCAATCTTGGCCTTCTCCATGCGATTGATGTTCCCCTCCACACCCCGCTTGAACACCATCCCTTGCACCACTTGAGACTGGTTCACTCCTGCTCCCTATTGCAACAAGAAGCACAATCATTACCATCTGTAGCAAAGAAAAAGAACTTCCACCTACTATGGTTCAGAAACCTTACTGGGATTTTGCACACACGAACGTTGTCAACATTGAAAGTTGTCTTCCCCGGCAAGATTGAACCTATAACCCCATTCAAAATTCCATTCAATACTGTATTCACACAACAAATCAATGAAGTTCTGAACAGCTTCTGTCCCTACTGCAGGCCTGAGCGATGAGTCTGGTGAGGAAGTCTTCAGAGCCACACTGCTTGCTCATTATAGAAGCCTTCATTGCAGAGACTACTTCATCCAAGTTCTGGAAATCCTTGACTTCCTTCACTACCAGAGATGGCAGTATGTCAAGTGCCTTCTGGAGTGCCATCTCATATCCTCTTACAACTTCCATTGGTGTCAAGCCCTAAGATGAAAACCAGTGATGCATGAAAATTCTGTCATTCTGTCATTGGAAACATTAAGAACTAGAAGTCTCTCAAGAAACAAGTAACTTTCCAAGTAATATGGTCTCTTCAATACAACCTGAAAAATCTGGAGACTCAAAGGTTAACATCACATGAAAAGAGTGTAACCTATGCATTGTCTCATGCTAATGATCCAGTCCTGAGCTAACTTGCACTATGCATCATATAAGGCTCTTGCACAAAGTTGCATCTAGAGCAGGGCTTCCCAACCCAGGGGTCACAAATCGGCAAATATGTGCCAAGTTATGTTTTTCTTTGCGATTTTAGTGCATAGGTGCATAGCCTGTTTGACCAGTGCTTGGGATCTTGAATGTAATGATTGTGATTTTTGGGGTCGCACGTGAAAAAGGTTGGAAAGCCTTGATCTAGAGTATTATGATAGGTGAAGTAAACTCATGAGAGAAGGGGGAATTGTAGGTGATGAGGTGGTGAAGTCAATCTAACCACACACAAGGTGGGGGGGGGGTGCATATTTGTTTTCTTCCTACTCACCAAACTCCAAAACATACTTACTGTTGGCAAGTGGAAAGGTCTGGTATGAGCATGGGGTGTATGATGCTGGGCTGAGGTCTTTACAGCAGATTCTGAGGTATGGGCACCTGGTTTCTTGAATTTATTATATTGGCAATTCCAAGCAAAATAATGGAAACTAACCATCCGCAAAAGATCTTCAGCATATTCCAAGAGAGCACCAGAGAAGGTGATCACAAAATTTGTTCCATCACCCACTTCCTGTTCCTGCATCTGAGAGGCTAAAACCATCAGCTTTGCTGCTGGGTGCTGGATCTGAAGGACAAACAGAAACAATGAAGATTCACAGTGTGGGTTAATTTAATGAATTTTAGATGATTTTGTGACGATTCATGTAATCAAACTAGCCTCTAATTCCTTGATGATGGTTGCAGCATCACTAGTGACAAAGAGCTTCTGAATGTGATTAATAATCATCTTATTCCTCCCATTAGGTCCATAGGCAGAACGGATGGATTGAGCAAATTCTTTGCATGCTTCAATGTTGCGGATCACTGCCTCCTCCAGACCATGAAAGAACTGAAGGACAAAAGGAGACAGAACTAATATATAGGTGTTCCACAATACCTAAAATCAGCACAAAAAGGGAGACAGAATTATTTGTTATCACTTGACATGATTTTAATGTAGCTATCAGCTATATCCAAGGCAAACCTTCCCATGCCTTGCTTTTTTGGAGACCTACTCCTGAAGAGCTTTTTCTTAAATAATGTCCAATTAATGGGTTTTCTGACTTTTCAAACATTGGCTAAAGGGAAAGAAGAAAAAATGAGAGGTTGCAGGCAGGGATAGAATACACAACATACACTGTTAACATCTCAGTTTTAAGCCATGGGAATGGCAACTCTTGTTCTCAAAGGAAAGCCAAGCAGCAGGGATTTGAAGAGAACAGTACCTATGCCACTCTGGTTATAACTGGATCTAGGGCTGCCCTGGATGTAGCCACTACCTTTCGATTGCTTATGGCATTTTAGGCCTTGGTATAAAATGAGTGGTGCAAATAAAAAAAGCATCCTATTTAAGGCTTTACAAAACCTACTGTAGAAACACTAATTTTGATATTTTTTGCTTCCCACAGAAAACTCTCAATTTTTTTTCATGAATATTTTGAAGTCTCTGGGTGTATTAGTTGAAGAGCAATAGTTGTAACTAAGTTAAGAAAACTCCATTTTTCCACAAAAAATGGAGGCAGCAGTTTCAGCAATGTTCTATAAAGGTGTTCCATCCATCATCAAAAAGCCTGCTTCTTATGACTGCAATCTTATTGTACTGTTATTGATTGTGCATTTTCATCATGTTAGATCTTTCAAAAAGAGAAAACTCACTACATCATATGGATGTTAAAAAAATGGGCCTGAGAGGAAAGAGACTTCACAGAACAGAGTTCATCATTACATTACTTTCTTCCCTCTCCGGTCCTTATACTCTGAACACATCAGGCCTTACCATCTCATCTGCAGCCTTAAGACACCATTGTTACATAATCAAGAACACTATGAAAAGGACACAGTATAAAAAGCAGCCTTTATGGTTTCAAAAAGAGAAATATTTTGAACAGTGCTCAGACTGCATCCACCTCAAGTGTGAAAAGTTGCAATTTATCACTACTTAGAATAGTGTCACTTTTTATCCAGATGACTAGACACTTGAAACTTTCTGGAAACAAGTCTCGTAGTGTCTCCAATGCGATACGAAATTTTTACGAACCTAGAATTTCTACAGTCGGCTTCATAAGGCATGAAACATTACGCTTTTTTATGTCCTACCTGATATTGGTCTAACGTTAGGCCTATTTCAACATTCTCCAAGAATCAAATCAACGAACCTTGGTCCCATCCTTCAGCATAGACATAAAGTCTGATGCCCTTGGGACATGAAGAGCCATTGTTTTTGCTTTTCGGTGACGGTAGATCTACACGGAACGTAGGCTTGAGTCTTGGAAATAACCTGCCAGCCAGAAACTCGCCGCAGAGCCTTGAAAAAGATTGAGACACCTGTTGGGTTTTGACTGGAGCCAAAATATAGATAAAACTCTTAGGACGTTCTAAATAAAAGCAAGCACACGCGCATTTTCAAACAAGCTCCAAGAAGCTGGAAAAGAATGAACCACGCCGTAACAACGGAGCACATGTTCGGCATCAAAGCGGGTCGAAGCTACCATCTTAACATGACGTCATCGGATGGGGACCATCTAGCGTCGGTACGACAAACGTCATCGCCAGCCTACATGAGGGACTTTTTCCCCAGCCGCTTGCAGCTGTTGGCAAAAAGACAGCTCTTTTCTTCAGCGCTAAACACAACCACATCATACATGGCGTCACTCTTGAGCAACTTGCTGCCAGCGGAACATAGTGAACTACAAAAGCGCTGAGCAAGTCAAGGGATGCTGGAGGCAAGGACGTAGCCAGGGGGGAGTGTCCTGGGTGTCTGGACACCCCCCCCCCCCCCCCCCCCCCCCGAAATGAAGCAAGATATCATGAAACAAGGAGCATGAGNATGCCAAGTTGGCTACTCAAGTTAATGCGAACTTCAAGTGACACTGCGTGTTTTCGAAGGACGCACAGGGAGGTGTGGTAGGACTCGCAAGGTAGGGCAACAGGAAAATCCACACCATTAAATTGCTTTGTCTCTTTTACTTCCCCAACGTCGGTCAGAAACAAAAAGAGCTTGTTGTCAAGCAGCAAATTTCATCGCTGCTTGCTCCACTCCCCCCCCCCCCCGAAGTTAATTCCTGGCTACGTCCTTGGCTGGAAGCGTCAGCAAAGCCATCAGAACCGCTTAGAAAAAGAAGCACCCCATATCTTCCAGAAGTTCGGAGATGTTGTTTGACCCGCAGACGAGTCTAGGATAATCCAATGGTGGGGGAAGGAGAGGGAGACGGCACAAATGTGATAAGAGGCGATATCAGTTACAATGAAGGGGGAGGAGGGGTGGAGTTGAACCCACAAGCCCCCCCAGACGTTTGACCCGTGGTTTGACCGAGGATAGCACACATATTTGATGTAATTTGAAGCTTCCAATGAGTGATTTCTTTCCCGGTGGTGAGCAGCAGAATAAATAATAGCCATTGCACCACGAAATTTGCTTTAAAGATCCATGAATTCTGGGAGAAATAAATGCAATTTCCCCCTTGGAAAGGACAACAATGTTCCTGAACCAAATGATCGAAAGAAGGCTCAATGTAAAGTGTTTGTTTGGAAGCTGATTTTAAATAGTTTCAAAATGAACTTGCTCAATGGCTCTCTGATGTCGATCTGGCTGACACTTCTGACCGTCCCGTTGATGGTGTGTGTATTAAGAGCGGCGCTCGGCGGAATTGGACGAAGGATCGAGAAGGACAAAGGCGACAACGCCCACGAAAAAGCTGACGAGGATGAAGGACGGGGAGAAGAATGTGGAGGAGAGGGCGTGGATGGAGACGGCAGAGCCCTACTGTTTCTGTAACATCACTTTCCGAATCAAAGATGCCGTCAGAGACTTGTCACATGTCTCGATCATTCGCTAATTTCCCTGTGATCAACCCGAATGCACCGCTGTCCTTTTTCTTGCAGTGCATTTCTTCATGTTGGATGAAAAGAATCATGGCCTGCTGGTGAAAACGTTCAGAACGACGTCGAGGATCGAAGAGGACTGAGTTATATTCGACTAGTAGACCTAAAGTATACAGAGAGGAAAACGACGAGGAAAACGCGAAACGGAAGCCAGCGGTTATCGCCAGCATAAAACGGAAGCTGCTGACCGGAGGCGGACTCCGTCTACGGAAGGTATAGAACTTCCGTTACAGCAGAAATAGTTTTCCGTCAACGAACCAGTCCGGTTGGATCGCTGGAAACTTTCTGAACGGAGAAGGAAAAACATGGACTCGGAGAAGTAAATCGTGAAAGTAGGGAAGCATCCGCTGCTGCAGGGGTGTCAAATATACGGCCCGCGGAGATGGTTCGTCCAGTCCGCTGTCTGTTCTTGAAATTTCTGCTTAGATTGGCTGTTTGCACAAATTTCGGAGAAAAAGTATGTGTGCTTCCCGTAGGCATCTGCAGGGAAAGAAATGCCATCCGCAGATGGATTTGAGTTTGACACCCCTGCGCTACTGTGTGACATCGGATCGAAAGAGTAAAAGAGACTTTATAATGCAGGAGGATCCGTAGTAAAAAATCGGAAACGGGTTTGGACGTTCAGGTGAGTCCAGGCGGCTCTTCGCAGACTGTATTTTAGTCATCTGGTTCAACTCTGCCAAAATTAGGTACCTTGCCTCATTTGGAAACATCTACTGTATATTTGCGAATAATTGGCTTGCAATAATATAAGCTAAGTTTCCACTTCATTTCTCTCCAGTAGATTGATGTTGAATCTCTCCTGCTAGAAGGGCGATCGTTCGGTATACAGTAAATTGCCTTCCCTGCGGGAAAGCGACTGCGGAAAACATTAATTTCCGTTCTCGAGTTCGACGAACTTCCGCCTTTCGCTTTCCACGCCGATTTCCGCTTTGCATCAATCCACCTCATGTGCTCTCAGCTGGAAACAGCGATATGCCAAGTTGGCTACTCAAGTTAATGCGAACTTCAAGTGACACTGCGTGTTTTCGAAGGACGCACAGGGAGGTGTGGTAGGACTCGCAAGGTAGGGCAACAGGAAAATCCACACCATTAAATTGCTTTGTCTCTTTTACTTCCCCAACGTCGGTCAGAAACAAAAAGAGCTTGTTGTCAAGCAGCAAATTTCATCGCTGCTTGCTCCACTCCTCATTGATATGTCCACTTTCTTCTTCTCTGCATTCCATTGGACTTTCAAATTTCGAATTTTACTTTGCACTTCAGCTACCGGTACTTCCAGTTCCGTTGCAAGATTAAACCAGGCATCTTGCTTTCTTTTCTTGTCCTTGTACAGAACACTTCTCACGTTCCAAAGGCAAGAGTGCCTTTCGATATTTATCATTCAACTCAACAGTCTTTTCCCTGTCTCACTCCATTTTCTACACTGAAATCTTTCACTTTCTATACAAGAAAAGTATTGGGTTGGAAAGAAAGTCTTGCAACACTTTCTAAAACTATTTATAAAAATTTTCAAAGGAATGATGGGCGGGGCTTTGCATTTGTATATGCTGGAATGTTCTCGAAGCTTCGGCCCTCGGGGTATATAAGGCGGCTTCTGCCATCAGTTGGCAGCCATGGCTCCGAACGAACGAGCAACTCTTCGCCCCATCGTCTAGTACGAGTTCCTCCAAGGACACTCTGCGAGAGCCGCCGCGGACAACATCTGCGCTGCATTCGAGGGCAACGTTGTCCACTATTCCACGGTGTCTCGATGGTTGAAACGCTTGGAATCTGGCGGCACGACCATCGGAGATCGACCACGCTCAGGACGTCCATCTACAGTCGATGACGAAGCCCTGCGGAACGCCCTCGACGCGAAGCCGAACGCCACCACTCGCGAATCGGCGACTACACTTGGAGTCACCCATATGGCCATCGGCAACCATCTGAACGACCTCGGCTATCGGAAGGTTTACTCGACATGGGTCCCTCATCGGCTCGGCGACTCTGACAAAGCAAGCCGTGTCGGTGTCTGCGAATCACTGCTCCTTCGTCCGCACAGAAAGGACCTTCTGAAGGAAATCGTTACTGGAGATGAGAGCTGGGTCCTCTACGTCGACCATACTCGCAAGAGTCAGTGGCTTCCACGAGGAGAATTGCCGCCACACGAACCGAAACCAGGGTTCCACGAGAAGAAGGTTCTTCTCTGCTGTCGGTGGGATTCAGAAGGAATGTTGTACTATGAGCTCCTGCCAACCGGTACCACCGTGACTGCCGTCGTCTACGCTGCTCGACTTCAGAAGTTGGCTGGCGTCATTCAAAAAGAGCGTCCCAAACGCGACAAAGTTCTCCTTCTGCATGACAACGCTCGTCCACGTGTTGCGAAGATGACTCGCCAGACGATTTCGGAACCGGGCTGGGAAGTTTTACCCCATCCAGCGTATTCTCCGGACTTGGTCCCTTCCGACTATCACTCGTTCCGGGCCCTCGAGAATCACCTGCGGGACAAGGCCTTCGACGATCGAGCACAGCTCGAAAATGATGTCGGCCGTTTCTTCGCTTCGCAATCGCCAGAGTTCTGGGCAAAGGGCATCGAGCAGTTACCCGTGCGCTGGGAACATGTCATAGACAACAATGGTCATTACATTGTAGATTGAAATTGCATTTCAATAAAGTTATAACATTTTGAAAAATTTGCGCAGTGTTGCAAGACTTTCTTTCCAACCCAATAGACTGAGTTTCTAGTTTTGAAAGTCTCTTGCAAAGAGGACTCGGAAAGAAAAATTATTGGAAAGGAAGCTTTCAAAGACGTCCACACCTTGAAAGTTTTCTTTGCAAGTCGACTTGTAAATAAATATTGAAAATAAAACTTTCTGGTGTGGACGAGGCCTAATGGACTGTGCAATATTCCTGCCCTCTCTTTTAATACGACCAGCTCCCGGGAAGCATCCGACTCCTGCGAACCCTGAACAATCCATTAAAGAGAAAAGCAACCGTGACACCGATGCGCGCTTGATTGCAGGAAGCCTGAAGTTCTGGTCCACGTACACTCCTGAAAGAAATGTGAGGACTCTCGAGGTTCGCGTTATCGTTCTCTATTCAATGTTCGTTATACGTAAGAGAAGATAGTGATGCGATCTCTGGAACTCCCAACTTCACGACAAGTGCGCCTACCTGTCAGCCAATTAGAAGTGTGGCCAAAGAACATATCGAAACTATTATCGGAAGAGATTATGAAGCAAGGAAAGACGAAATGCACCGATACGGGAGCGTTGCTTAGCAGATTGAAACACCTGGGGTCACACCTTCTGGCAGGATGCGGACGACACCCATGCAAAACGTTTCCCCACGACAGAATTTAGTCTGCACAGCATTTACGAATGGAAGCCTTTCTTTGCAATGGAACTTGCACGGTGAGGATTGTTCCTGGAGGTTTCTTCCTACGCGAAGGAAAAAATTTGGAGTCAACAGAGCTATTATTAGCTTTGGCGTCACCCTTGTGTAACAATTGCTTTACTTCATTAATTCGTGAAGAGAGGAGCTAGATTTCGCTGTTAGATTTTCTCTAAACAGGGTGGTAAAAAAATGCTACCACAAACTGGGAACAAACAATGTAAGTTTGGAATGTCAGATAGTACTTTAATGCCAAGTTTTAAATGCAGAATGATATTACCCGCATTAATGTACATTTAAACAAGAGCGTAACCATAAATACAATGACATAGCAATTGAATTTGACATCTTTATTTGAAACTAGCGAAATCAAATCTTTCCATTACAGCGGTAACTTAGTTTTTGCACCCCACCCCCATGTCCCATTTCACATTTCCAGAAGGAATTCACCCAAAGAGGCGCTTTTGTCTGTCGAGTCATGATAGTACAGTTGTTTAATTCGCACTCTTCGAGAAGTGGTCTGACCACTAGATTGCATTGTCATATTGTACAGATTTATGGCAGCCTCAGTTTGAGCAATTTAGCATAAAAAAATCGAGATTTCGTAAACCTGAATGGTTCTGACAAGTTACATGAGCACGACGACTGCTGACTGAAATCCTGTGCAGAACTCGATGGAACACACGGGATCATTAAAAAATATTTATTGTCAATTGTGAATACGGTCTACCATGACACGTTGATCTGGACTTGTTACCATCATGTTAAGCGATTTGGACGGAGACCAGCGTATTTGCTAACACCACTGTTTCGGCTTGAAGCCCGACAATATTGCGGCGGTGGTAATCAGGAGTGCTAATCCTTTGAAAGAATGCAGCTGATCCAATGCAGTCATGCTCGCTGCGTTTATTCGGAATCCAATTCTCACTGGGATCATCGTACCCGGAGAGTGTTAATCAATAACTGTCGAAAAATGGTTATTCAGGTACTCATGGTGATGCTCGAGAACAATACCGTCGACAACTTTATAGGCACTTTCACATACTCCACCCCCCACACCCACACGCGCTAAGGCCTCCGAGTTCTCTTCTCTCAATTCTCCATATTTATGATGAAACTTCTGCTCGAATCAGTTCTGTATTGTCATCAATATCTCTGTGGTTCTGCCGACGGATGATGGGAAGGGAAGGTGATTTCTGGCACTTCTGCAGTCCCTGTTCCCGAACCTCTGAAACAAAAATGTAAAAATTTAAAGTCGATTCGAATTTTTGTTGTCATAAAAGTTTTCCCTGCCTCTTTCCCTGAACATGAAGACTGATAAGATGACAACATACGTCCTTAGGAGTCGTTCGACAAATTTATAGGGGGCATATTAAAGCACACTCGGCATTTGTGTGGAATATATGAGCATATTTGTATATTTCTCATGAGCACATCTGGATAATGTAGACAACTAGCAGTTGAGCGAGTCTCTTTCGATTATGTTCCCTCGGGCTGAAACATCATGGGTGCATGCCTGCCAATGTCTGATGAGTAAGAGAAGGCACGGCAAAAAAGGTGTGAGATGGAGCATGGTAGCTCCTCCTTCGTTAAACGACACCCTGAGCCCCACAATCGCGCACGCTGAGGGAGAGGGCTTCCAAGCGTCTCTTTTCGCTTTTCACAAGAAAAAATCCATTAAATTCTGCGTGTTTTATAAGAACATAACCGCACTCTTGAACCATTTGACAGAATATTTGCTGAATGTGAGAATGTGGTAAAGAGAATATATATTTGGCCTTTCGGACAAAATTCAAGAACCCACAGACAAACTAGACACGTGACCGAAAAAAGGCTAGGTTCTCAACATTAGGATATTATTTCCCTTGACTTCATCTTTTTGTCATTTCAGTCCTTGGACAATGGACACGTGACGGTTACTGTGTCGTCACAAAATTAAACGACAGGACGAACTTTTTGGCGACTCTCTCGGCGTCTTCCAAGGTCTCAGGGATCCGTTGTCCTTTGGTCTCAGGGAGGAAGAGAGCCAATAATCCGGCGATCAACGACGATGCTCCGAAGACCACGATCGGCACGAACTCGTGAGTGTATTCCCCCTTGAAAATGAACACGTGTTCCTTCTGAAGCGACAAGTCCTTCTCCTAGCCAAAGGATTAGGTTTAACATATCTACCTATTGCAATTAATATTGCCTTCAATGAGAAAACGAAAATTTCCAAGTCAATAAAAATTTTCCTCATTAATGCACTAGGAAAAAACTCACTGTGCTTGCAAGGTGCAAATGATTTTTTCTCAAGCACAGCGAAGCCATAACTCAAAGGTGTGCCACCTTTATTGGCAGTGGGCGGTATGAAAATGTCCGACTCAGCACGTTGATTGCTAAATGCAAAAGAGACGTTCCTCTCTTATGCCCTGAGGACAGTGGCGTATTTTACGGGGGGGCATGTGGGGCGACAGGGGGGGCAGCCGCCGCTCCTGGCGCCTCTGGGATAGAGCCTGGGACAGAGCCTTGGAGGTAATAACTCTGATCTCCCCTGATATGACTCGGGTGGGGTTGGGCGTCTCCACTCTGTTGCCCTGTCCCCCCTGACCTTTCAGCCAAAATACACCACTGCCTGAGGATGTGCAGTATACCGCGTGACTTATGCCAAGTTCATAATCCTCCTGTACTGCATTGTGCAGCATGCTGGACGCTCGATGCAGTACACGGCAGCAGTCCGTAAACGGACTGTAAAACTGCAAACTGCATTCAACAGATGCGGCGCTACATTTGCTGTATTGCATGCTCTCCTGCATCCTTAAGAAATAAGTATGGTTTATATATCCCTTTAATGCATTATTTTTTTCTTTTTCGGCGAAAAAATATGATAGGTTTCACTTACGTCCTAGAACATGGAAAAAGTGAAAACAGTTTTCTCAAATTTGTAAGCAGTAGGCCTGAAAATGTTATTGTTGTTCATTTGCTACAAACAGCATTTTTAGCTTCCTAAACCACGCTGCATGGAAACTAGAGAGCTCAGTCGGTCCGTCAGCATTCCTACATACCTCAACGCAATAGAAAAAGTAAAAATACGGATGAGCCTGGGCGCTGGATTAGCGTAAAGTTGAAGGTGATTGCACCAAAAACGTCAATCTGTCACATGACGAAGCTAGGTGTTTTTAATTTGCTTGCCCCCAGGAGTGTATGGCACCTAGCGACCGCATGGTTGCTAGGTATGAGGACCGGACTGTTGCCCATCTGATACGAACGGATTTACCTCAGTAGCTCGCTACCTACGCATTGTAAAAAAATTTATTTGGTATGTAGCATATCTGCTACGTCATGCATTAAAGGGAGTTGCATGCTGAACTGCATGAATTTCTTGCCAGACAACATGCGGCATCCAGCTGCTGCATATCTTTTTTTTATGCATTACAGAATTGCAGTCCAGCAACTGGACATGCCGGATAGGATTTTTCAGTACAATATGCAGTTGCAGTATCCAGCAATAGGTCCGGTGTGTCATACCAAATTTCTAATGCAAAAGATGGAGGAGACGTACGAGTTGCGCGACCCAGGGGGCTATGATGGAACCGATGCGGGCACACATTGAGGAAGAACCGACTCCGATGTTCCTCACCACCGTCGGGTAGATCTCCGCCGAAAACACGTAAATGATGGCAAACGACGCCGAGATCCCGAATTTCCCTATCATCGCCAACGTCACCACCGGCCATTCGTTCGTGTACACCCCTGTGGTCCAATATCATCACGATTTTCATTCATGATGAACAATCGCATCATAATTTCAGTGCCATTGGACTGGTGAATTTCCTATCCCACACAACAAAGGTATATCCCAAAGATTTCCCCTTGGGATAAGTGAGAAGTCCCAGGTAGTACTTCCAGGCACCCTTCTGCACAGGAGAACCCATTACTTTCAAAGATGTCTCTATTTGATCTAGGAACACCTAATCTTAAGTTCTTGATCGATTGAAGAGTAACGGTTATAGGGGAGGAAAATCCTGTTCTAAAAGGTGTCCCCCTAATAGGAGTCACATCTCCAAGGGAAAAAGTATCTTTGTATCTTTCAACGAGAGATCATGGACGAGATGATTTAGCCTTACGTCTTTTGAAAAGGAGGGACTCAGGCCTCCAACCAAGATAGGTGTATCCAGACATGCCGATCACTCATCATTAAATAGAATATAGCGGAATAAATTAAAATTCGGACCGCAATTTTTTCACTTTCCCTGGTGGCAGTTTTCCTGATGTACGGTACGAAAATCCTTAATTATCCTCAGGACAAATCAAGTTTATAAATTTGATAGAAAAGATCTGAGGGTGGGGATCAGGGCTCACGGGAGACATCTACCGTCGAAGCTATGCACCTGACTGAAGGCGACAAAGAGTAATGAAGGTGCCTAAAGACATCCCTAAGATGTCCCTAATACATCCTCCTCAAGATATCGAAAAGCGTTCGACTGAAGATGCCTTCAAGATATCCCCTCCAGGCTATCCAGAAGCATTCGACTAAGGATGTCTTAAATATATCCCGAAAGGGATATCTCTAAGATATCGACTGAAGATTTGTTTAAAGGACGTCTTTTAGATATCCCGAAGACATCCATTACGAGATGTCCAAACTGTCCGAAAGAAGATGAATTCAGGATATCCTATAAAAACCCTGGGCAGTGGCGTATTTTACGGGGGGCATGGGGGGCAACCGCCCTCCCTCCGGCGCACCTGGGACAGAGCCCGGCACCCCCTTGGAGGTAATAACTTTCTCCCTGATTTGGCTCAGATGGGGTTTGGCGTCTCCACTCAGTTGCCCTCCCCCATCCCCCCCCGACTGACCCTGGGACAAGTCATCCAGTTAGGGACATCCCTGGGATATCACTGTACTGTGTGGGATATACAGGGTGGCTAAAAAAAAAACAAGCTATTGACTTCAACATGCTGTAAATCAGACTGCAGTGCCTTAACTGGAGTAAGCTTTTAGGCACACATGAAGCAACTCCTTTGCAGCAGATATACAATTTTATGTTATGATATCACGAGTTTTTTGCCTCATCAGGATGAAAATGGCCGCCTCAATCCGGAAAATTGCTGCAACGGTCCCCGACTGCCGTTTGAGTTGGAGCAGCGACAGCTGTTGTTAACACATTTTATTTTCTGTATCAATGTTTGAAGATACGATTCTTCCTATTCCCACATTTTACCATGCTAAAACAAAGCAATGCCTGGTTACTCGCATGAAGACCTGGTGGTGATCAAGACCTTGCGAGTTCAAAAAGGATGGGAAGCCAGAAGAATGATGAATGAATTGAAGAATTTTTTGATAAAACAAACTGGCTAAGAAGTGGTATTGAAGGCATCATTCGGAAGGTTGATGAGAGACGGGATCAGCAACTCGAAAACAAGGTAGTGGAAGGTCCATAATCCAAAGAATGAAGAGAATGATGAAAAAGTCGAAATGCGCATGTTGAGTCAAGAGGATCAACCTGGAAGTTGTTTTACCCAGAAAATTCATTCATCATTCTTCAGCAAGGTCTTCATCACCACCAAGTCTTCATGCGAGTAGCAAGGCATTGCTTTGTTTTAGAGAGAAAAAAGTAGGAAAAGGAAGAATAATTTCTTCAAACATTGATACAAAAAATAAAATCTGTTATTAACAACAGCTGTCGCTGCTCTAACTCAAACGGCAGCCGGGGACCGTTGCAGCAGTTTTCTGGATGGAGACGACCATTTTCATCCTGGTGAAGCAAAAAACTCGTAATATCATAATATATAATTTTATATCTGCTGCAACAGAGTTGCTTCATGTGTGCCTAAAAGATTACTCAAATCAAGGCATTGCTGTCTGATTTGCAGCATGAAGTCAATAGCTTGGTTTTTTGAGCCACCCTGTACTAGTATGTACTTTCCAGCTTGTTAGAGGGACTAGTATCCATCGGCGCTCTATTTTAGAAGCGTATTTTTTATTCACTCGTTTCCCCCAGTTCAACTACCAGCAACTACCGAATTGTCAGCCACTTCAGGTAGCCTAGACTCTTCTTTGGGGAATGTCTATTCTCGCTCCACATTTCGACTTTCTTACCTCTCGTATTATTCTTGACGGGTGCTCTTTTAGCGACCACGGTTGCAATCTTTCCGATTGTGAGTCTTCGAACCAGTTCTGAGGGAGGAATTGAAGAAATTTCGTAGCGGAAAATGCAAGGTTTCCAGCAGATCGGAGATGATCTCCGCACCCCCAACAGGGTCTACATATCCTGCGTCGAGCGTGCATGACACCATGCATCACCCCACCTCTGTCGAGAGCAATTCCCGTGACTCGGTGAATATCCACAACCACACCCTGGAATGGTGCTACAATTTCCAGACAGCAGTTTTGGGCCTTGAGACTCCGTCGCTACCTCGGGCCTAAATTTATAGGGGGGAAAAACTAGCTGAACAAGCCCAATCCAGCAGTGGACAACCTTTCATTGAAGGGGGTTTCACTGACCGAAGACCGTGCACATCAGTCCCTGACGGTGGCTCGTGTGCACGATTCCCAGACCTGTCATTTCATACGCTTTGCAACCCTGTTTCAAATGCCATTTGCCTGAAACGGATAGGTCTTCTTGGGAATCTCTATTTTCCATTCTACTGGAGGAATATCTTAATTTTTTGCTCCCATTTTCGATAAATTTAGATAAATTTTCATGTTCATTTTTGTTATGACGATGACTTCCTATACTTCAATTTTGGGATTCTTTTGTTACCTCTGGGTATGGCGGTGGTGAGAATGCAACCGAGCCCCCCTATGACCATAGATAGGCAAAGAGGCCACCGTCGTCCCATCCGATGAACTACGTAGATACTGATAGCGTATGCCGGTATCTCCACAGCACCTATATTTTAGAAAAGACCTCTATGAAAACTGACAAGTATCAGGTCTGCTAAAACTGAATTGAGTTAGCCTCTTAACGAGTTTTAGCGAAATTCAACCTTCTGGAACAGAATTCTTTGAATGAATGCAGTTGATTCATAGAACGCCATTATAAATAAATGGAAGTATCGCCCATGCAATATTCGGTCTTTAGAAAACAAGTGGAAGTGTTGACCACGGAATTACGAGAGTGTTAAAAAAAAAGTAAAAGACAATTCCTGTCTAACCTGTCCAATGCGCGCTTTAGTTCGAGGGAATATCGTTGGTGGCGCTATTGGACCCCAAGTCAACATGGCGAGTACGCTCTCTGTGTGGACCAAGGAAGAGCAGCGGTCTGTTATCCGTTTTTGGGGGCAGAAGGAGTTAAACCAGCTGATATTCACAAACGAATGTTAGCCCAGTATGGTGAGAAGTGCATGACAACGAAAAGTGTACGAGTGGATAGAAAGATTCCGAAATGGACGAACGAGTGTTGTTAATGGCAGTCGATCAGGACGTCCAAGCACAGCAACTACTGGGCTAACATTCGTTTGTGAATATCCGCTGGTTTAATTCCTTCTGCCCACAAAAACGGATAACAGACGTTACTTTTCCTTGGTGCACACAGAGAGCATACTCACCATGTTGATTTGGAGACCACTAGCGCCACCAGCGACAATCGCTCTAACTAAAGCGGGCATTCTAAATAAAATTGATCCGTCTTTACGCACATTATGCAGTTTGCTAGACATAGGTTCACATGAACGGCTTAGACAGGAATTGCCGTTAGTTTTTGAAACACCTTCGTATTTCCCAAGCATTAGCGGATAGTATGAACTTGGCATATTCCATGAAATACGCGTCCTTTCTCGTATATGGATTTTCTCACAATCGATAACAGGACACAGGTATCATGAAACATTTTGGGGATAAGTACCAGAAAGAGTTTCAATAGAAGCGTATAGTGACAAAGTAAAGAACTTGAAAAATTTGAATTAGAAGCCGAAGAAAGTAAAGACTGTCATCGGGAGGACAATCTAAATATTGAAATGAGGGAATAAAAATGTAATTCTGAAAAGCGACATGAAAAGAACACGGTACGATAGGCATACGTACGGAAATATGATAAGAAATGTGGTGAAATGACCTCCGATGAAGACGTTGATGAAGATGTCCCCGCCTAGATTGCCGGAGTTGAGGGCGAGCCCGTAATAGACGAAGGAATTGACGAACCAATTCCAGAAAAGGTTGATCGTCCTGTACCGGAGCCTTGGTCCCTTGAAGAGGTGGAGAATCGTGTAATGCTGTTCTTTCATCGCGTCCTCCTGGTCCACGTCGTGAACCGTCGGCGTGATCGAAGCGGACGACTCCTTCGGTGGCAGCTTGTTTTTCTTCCTTGCCTTGTCTAGGATGGCTTTCGCTTCCGCGTCTCGCTTCTTACTGTAGAGCCATCTGGGGGATTCGGGAAGAAACCTAAATGAAGAACAATTCCACCCTTAGCTTCCCTAGTTCCTAGCCTGCACGAGATTTGCTCTTTTGGTTATATGATACGTTTGAAGTCGAAAGTCAAAGTCGTACGATATAAAAAAAATGAAATAGAATTTAAGCATTTACTCAGGGATCATATTGTTCGAGGAGAAAATTAAAACGGTTCAATCTTGAGTGTGCAATCTGTTTAGCTCATTAGATATATTCAGGCCTATCATCGACTTCGTTCTAAGACTCAAATTGACTCGGCTCCATTGAGTGTCATTACCCTCATCCATTACCCTCCCCTTTTCTTACTGGCTTCATTGAGTAATGCCGGTATGGGATTCTTGCATGTATACAATTTCACCACTGAGTAGCATTCCATAAAATTCCGAATGGAAGAAAATAGCATGCAGTGGCACGGGCGATTTGAAAATAGAGAGAATGCCCACCAGTAATAAAGAAGAAATACGGAGACTGGAACGGAGATGGCCAATTCCAGGTGTTTCCAGTCCCGAGCAAACCAGGATATCCCAGCCAGGGACATGAACCCGATGGAAAATGGATACTGGTAAGCTAACCCGATGATCGGCCGATGATGCCCTCCGACTGCCTCCATCACTGTTGAAAGAAGTTGAATGAATACCATATCTACAGTATACAGAATACCATATCTACATCTTGCAGGGCAAGATACCCATTGTGCTGAAAATTAAAATTACAAAAACTGAACTGGGACTACATAATAGACTAAAACAACGAAGCTGGGCTAGTCCAGGGTGAGCCTTCTTTCACAAAAGTACTTTCATCACCTCCTTAAATGCTGATAAAAACTTCGTTGAAATGAAATTACCGTTGGGCCACATCTACGTGATACGGAAAGTAGGCTGATCCGACAGTAATTGATCTCAACAATTGATTGAACTCTAAAGTTCTCTTTGGAGATAGATCAAGAAGCAACATCAATTAAGTGATACGGTCTCTTGTCGCAAAGGTGTCGTAGAGTTGAAGCAGTAGGTGATGTGCTTCCTCAGGGGTTCTCAGTAGATGTTCCAGGGTGATCCCATTCGTGCCAAGAGGTTTGTTGACGTTTCAAAGCTTTCAGTGCCTGTGGAGTTCTTGGTATGGTATGGCAAATGGGCTTGAGAGAGATGGGTAGGTTCTTCATGAAATGTCTTGGAAGGGGGAGTGAAGAATGGGTTCAGTACTTCCGAGAAATACTTTTGAAAGGCAGTCGCTGTCTCTGCTGGAATCTCTGCGGAATCTGTAGTTAGCCGATTGAATGAAATGGGTTAGTAAAGGCGATGACCAAGGACATATTCTACTTGGAAGAGTTCGTGGGTGTCTCCAGGGTTCAGCGCAAAGTAGCCAGCGTCTGAAAAGGGTGTAGACATGCCTTCGTTTGTCTCGTTCCAGGTGGGAGTTAGAGCTGGCGTTCATGGAATGAAGCCGGTTTTGAGACTTCAGGGAGAGGTGGCATCGATACCGGAGGAGGGTGTCTATGCAGGCTGTAATGGTATTCCAGTCTTCTTGAGCCTGGAGTACCATTAAGATGTTTGTTCTGTCTCTGGGGTTCATGTTTATGGGAAATGGGAAGCCCACTAAACGTTGATTTCAACAACGTTACTTCAAGTGATAAGAACAGCGACAGACTAGAGGACAGAGCATACCGACAACAAAAGCAGTGGTATAGAGGGCGGCAGCAGCCATGGCGGTGATGAAACGGAGGATCACGAACGAGATGACTTCGGGTGCAAAGGATGTAGCGACCCCTACCACCAGCATCAGGATAACCGACCATAGCATCACCGGCTTCCGGCCAACTCTATGGATCAAGCATAAATCCAATATCCAGTGAAGAGCTCATCGTTGCACTGACTACCAGCAAATATTTCTATCACACAGGAAATTAGAGTTGTTCTGAAACCCTGTTGCCTAATCAAACACAGGAATCATGAAAATAATATGTAATTTTAAAACCATTTATAATATTTATTTAAATACGTAGGTTCTTCCCCAAGGCGAAGAATTCAACTAAAAAATTCAAGCTATCTCCGATCTAAAAAAAAAAACAGAAAAGTTATTTAACTTATCATAAGGATTCAAAATGAGAGCATGTGTAAGAACATTGCAAGAAATGAAGGTCGAGTTCTAGCAGCAAAGTATTTAATATATTGGACAAAGACTGGCCCAACATATGTGCTACATAATATGTCTCGACAGAAAAGTGAATAATATTATAGATAATAATACCTGTCTGCCAGATGCCCAGAGAGGACGCAACCGATCAGGACTCCAAACATGTACGTGCTTTGAGCCACTTGGGATAAGTACTTGTTATCGCACACTATGCCATACTTGCGAAAGAAAGGAAAACATTCCTGAGATTCCTGAGATCCAGATGTGATTTCGGTGGGTGACGAAATACCTGATTGATGATAGTATTGGTGAAGATTGTTCGATTGTATTCCCAGCTGGAACAGCTGATCTGGGATCGATTCGTGAAATCCATCGCCTGAGGAGGCCATGATGTCAGCTCCTCTTCCGTCAGGTTGTACATCCGGCAAGAGTCATACGTAGGACTGCTCTAAAAATGAAATAATCATTTTCAGTCTTGTGCCTATTCGATCCCTGAATTTCCCACCACCAACGCCGAATGAACGAGCGCGCTCAAATCTAACGGAGCAGAGACGCTTCATAAAACCGCGACCTCAGAATTATCAGGTTTAGGGTGGATTTTTAAACAGAGAACCATCCGACAATGCTGCTTTATTTCCAGGAAATATCATGGATGGATTTTTGAACAGAGCACTATTCAAATTCGATTCAGATTCGATTGCGAAACGATGCACGTGCTTGCTTCACGTGTGATTGCTTCACGAACATCATCTACATCTCCTGTGGGCCGGCGGGTCACACCTCTAGAACGAGAAAAGGTACTTCAAGAAATTTCGGACTCTCTCGTCCTCCCCGCACGCGCACGCACACACACACACACACACACTCTCTCTCTCTCTCTCTCTCTCTATAGCTCTGGGAAGAAAAAGGAACGAGAACGTATCGCAATTTTTTCGAAAGCGATCTCAAAGAGGTGGTGAACAGTGCTTCCAATTTTCCTGTGAAAGGAATGCACCAATATCTCGCGGCTTGATGAGGGCAAGTCAGGCAAGGGCAAGGCTAGTCGCGAATGATATCGAATTTCGACTTTTCCTGCCGCATTCCGAGTGGAAAGAATGGGCTTTCGAGTGATGAACGCAATTAAGGAATCCCCCGAACGAGGAGGAAGGTCTCACGGGAAGGCACGAAAAATTACCCACTTTAACGGAAAACCAATTCCGACGATAGATTGGAATTTCCGGGGCAATGAGAGGAAAGCTCTCTTACGCGCTTTTGTCGGAGGGATCGATTCCGAGGTTTTCTGGGAACGATGTCGACGTGAAAAAATTGGAGTTTCAACTATGAAGCAACGGTTTCAACTATGAAGCAACGGTTTCAACTATGAAGCGGAATCCCTTTTTCCGCGCATCAGACGGAAACTCTGCTTCCTATGCTTTACAAGGAATTTTCTGAAAATTTTATTTAAATTAATCTTCCCATTTTCGCGTGGACGTAGCGAGGGAAGAGGAATAGCTCTCTCCGAGAGTATTTTCAATTATTAATTAGGGATGTCAATTCGATTAATTTAATCGATCTATTAATTTAATCGATCTATTAATTTAATCGATCTATTAATTTAATCGATCTATTAATTGAGTACAATTACATTATATTATACAATTATAAAGGGAAAAATAGGCATACAGAGTCGATAAGGGAGTTGATTAAAATGCAATTACTTTCGACTAAATTTTTAAATTGCTATTAATACTTCAATCGATTAATCGGTCGATTAAATTAATCGAATTGACAGCCCTATTATTAATATTTCTATTCATCGGCGCTTATAATTTGTTCGTTCTCTGCGTTAATACCAGGTGGCGCAAAAAAAACGCGTCGTGTTTGACGCCTTATAAAATCCGTTGTGGATGATCTAGGTTCGTGATATTTTCGTAATACGTTGGAAATACCACAAAATTGGTCTTCTGAGAGTTTCATTTACCTATGTTGTCTAAATAAATATCGAAAGTCGCTCAAAGTGGAATCATAAAATGGACCTTTCAGCGCACGAGGTGGATGGAGTTTCAGGACTGCTCCAATGATTTCTCTCCCTTGACGTTATGAATACTGCTCTTTACGCCAGTTCTCATCGTAGTATTCTGCGTGGTGGCGATTCTGATGCTACGATGTCCGACAGTAGTACTATTCTGCGATGTGTTGAATACTACGATGAGAACTGACATAAAAGCGGTATTTATGACGCCAAAGTAGAGAAATCATTCGAGCGGTCCTGTAACTCCATCCTCCGTGTGCGCGGAAAGGTCCATTTTATGACTCCACTTTGGGCGACTGTCGATATTTATTTAGACAACTTAGGTAAATGAAACTTTCAGTAAACCAATTTTGTGGTGTTTCCAACCTAATAGGAAAATATCACGAACCTAGATCATCCACAACCAGTGGCGTAGCGTGTTTGGCACGGGCCCTGGTGCAAGGAATGTAACGAGGCCTGCTGTCCAATTTCTTACTATTCAATTATGTGGGAGTCATATATTTTTAAATATATTTTCTCTGGCAGCATATAAATCGTCGTCGGTCGCTGAAGTTAGTGTAGAAAACAGAGGCGGAAAATTTTTTTTTCATAGGGGGGGGCTGTTTCTTAGTTCCCAACCTACACCTTCACCTTCACCTTCTTCATTTTACGTCTGGGGTAAAAACCTTGAATATCTATTTCACAGGAACTAATAAACACTAATTTATGTGCTTTCTACATTTAAAAACTAGACTGCTAACTTGGTCAGAGGAGGGGCATTCGTCCCCTCCCCCCCCTTAATCCGGCACTGGTCGCGTTGAATTCCTTTGATTCCTCTTGACCTTCCTTTTCGGCTGCTGGCTCTCACCTCGTCCCGATGCCAAGGGGCTCCCAGCTAACGCCTCCCCCCCACTCCCTCTCCTGCCTTCCCCCCTCTTCGTAGCTCGGCGTCTGGGCCCCTCTGGCCCGTGGACCCCGGTGCAGTCGCACCGCCTGCACATTCGGTAGCTACGCCACTGTCCACAACGGATTTTATAAGGCGTCAAACACTACGCGTTTTTTTTTTTGCTCCACCCGGTATTTTTGAATAGTTTTCATAGTATTGCCCGTTTTAGACTCTATAATAGCCAAATAATTACTTACTTGACCAGATTTTCAGCATTTATCGTAATTTATATTTTCAGGATTTTGTTTATTCTCTTTCATCACCGAAATCGTTCTCGTTACCGTGGAAGATTTGGATACCAGGAGGCATCGCAACGTGCTGCCGGATCGCATACCTCGTCGTTGGGATTGGGCGGGATGGCGTGATCGATCCAGTCTTCGGTGGTCCAGTTATTGTCTTTCGGAGGCGCGCACCAGTGACCGAAACCGGAAGGTGCCATGAAGGCGATGACCAACATGTGCCAAGCCGCAGGGATTCCGACCAGAGAGGCCATGATCGTCACTTCCCATTGCCATCGACCCATATCCCCGATCTGCGAGGAGATGACGTCTTCTTCCTCCTCTGCATCTTCTCCCGTCCGTTCCTTTGTCGTCTCCCGGTGCTCGAGCTCCTGCTCCGTCACTATTGCCTGCTGTGACGTCGAAACCTGCACGCAAAACGATCGAGAGAATAGACGACAGATAGAGTGCGTGTAAATTCGATGGAAAGGTGAAACAATGTACGTACGTGCGAGGTATGCATATAAATTTACCCGAAAAACAAATATCTTTCAAACGCATTAGAATGTTCTTACGTAAAAAGTACACGTGAAGTGGGAGGTATGAAGGAGGAAAATAAGACTCGAATATGAGTTTAACAGAGTTAGTTTTGGTGGTCATGGTTGGAGTCTCTCGTGCAAACAGGAGGTAGCTGGACTCGTTCAAGTAAAGTGAGATCATACGCTTTCCTGGTACGATTAGATAGGGAATTCTCTTCTCGTGCAGTCATCCCCGACTAAATTAGACAATCGCTCTCAAGAGTTTCCCAATGAGGCTTAAGCACGTTTCTTTCCCAAGTGCAAGCTTAAAAGAATTGACGATTAGCTCGATGAAGTCAGGATCAGATTTTCAAGGTGCTGACAATCAACCGAGATGGAATGAAGGATGCCTTCAAAAGGGAAAAAAATCAAGGAAATATAAAAATAGATTTGATTTGAAAAGAAAACATTGGTACCAATAAATTATTTATCTTCGTTAGTGCAACTTATACTCGTTTGTTTTCTTGATCTCTTAAAAATTCGTCCTCTTAGCATTATTCACTTAAGTGTCGATACGTGTTTTGCATATAAGCAAATTCTGACGATTTTCTCCTTTTTATGAGGGAGAAAAGCATTTTTAAAAGTGGTTTCACCGACAAGAATTCCACTCCATGTTGCTGTTAGCTTAACCGCTCTTTGTCAAAGATTTTCCGCAAATCCTTGGAAGGAAAATGGATTTCTGCAAGAGTTCTACCATTCTTGCAAGGGGTATACTCAGAACGTGCTACGATGTGGAGAATCCCAGTTTCTGAAATGAGACTTTTGAATGGCGCCAATTTAAAATAAATGGAAGTGTAATATTTTTTCTTTCTTGTTCTGGTCTCATCTGCTTGAAAAAGAGTCGTCGTCGAGAGCTTTGCTCTGCTTTCATTCCCATAAGCTTTTGCACGTGATCTAGCAAACAGAAGGCCTTCTTTTCCTTATCTAATCTTGTATAGTGTTATCTCATTCCGTTCGCTCCATCGTTTGTCAAGAGAATCTTCAGCTTCAACTTCATATTTACTCGAGAGCAATTCCTTTCATGTTATGCTTTTGCGAGGGATGTGTCTTTAAACGCTCTCAAAGGGCAGCGATGTGTTACAAGCTGACCACTGACGGACACATAAATAGACAGGCTGGACAGGCCTTAATGTGGTCTCTATCGTTTTAACGAGATCACCGATGTGAATCACTGGGTTGCCAAATGGGCCTATTTGAATTAGTATGCGATTTCAGGTTTTTCAATCTACAGACCACAATCGGCACTGGTACCAGAGCCGACCGATGGTTGCGAGACGAAAATCGGTCATCGGCCCACCGGCCAAATGTGACCATTGGTATATCCCTAGTTTTTACTCCTCAATTTCCCCAGAGTACTGTACAAGATGTTGCTTTAATGTTGCAGTAATGTTGAAATAACACAGTTCAATGTCAATTTTGAAAATATGCGGATGAATCATTTACTACCATAACATTGAGCAATTAACTTGCCTTAGCATATTCTCAATATTTAGGATAAGTTTTATTAGTTGCCTCATCACAGCCAAATGAAGAAGTGAAGTCTCGATAATTATCGCTTGCCGAGGAAGGCTCGTTTTGCAGAGAACGTTCGTAAGAGGTTTCGAAAGTCTCAGGTATTCTGAGAAGAGTCTTGTCTCGTAAGGAAAGGGACGTGATCCCGCGCTAATCTTAACCCAGTTTTATTCCAAAGGGCTTTTGGCTTCTGTCGTTCGGAGAGCGAATAGCTAGTGCTATCGAGCGTCCAAAACGGGAACCACAGAAGTAGCAACACTTTTCGATAGAGGCATAGTTCACTTTCAGCGTGCCGATGCATGGAACCCTCTTCTCGATGTCTGCGCGATCCTATCAACGACGATCCGGAAATGGGGAGCTTCGAGTCGCTACAATCGATGTAGGAGTATCCGTTGCTCTGCAGACATTCGGTTCAAGGATGGTCTTCTTTTGCATTATCCAACTTTCTGATGAAACTTTTCGATACTGGACACTTTGAAGGGACCGTCTGAGCACCAAGACTTAATAGCAGCTTAAAGAAAGCATGGTCTGATCTCCAAATGGAGCTCCATCTCAACTAAAGTAGTATAAGAGAGTTTTCGACAAATGTTTCTGTTATTTTAATGCTTGTCATGAAAACCCGAACACTCCCTAGAAGCACATAGCATTGAAACAACATGGATTCAATGTTGATTCAATGTTATGTGCTACTAGGGCTGTTACAGGCATTATTCATCCTTTGCAGGGTGAATAATGCCTGTAACAGTCTAATCTTGTCGACAAAGACAAAGGGAGACAATTCGCTTACGTGCAGTTTCTTGAACATGATTCTGGGAAATCGCACGAGACTGAACTGGTGTATGGTTGGCACGCACGCACTCACAAACTCTCACGCTGAGAACGCGCATGGACGGTGGAGGATGAGGAGGTGCAAAGACTGAGAGAGAAGGATCGAGAGAGTTTCAGTAATAGCGACAGCGAGGATGCGGAAGCGCCTCTGGGCATCCCATCGTCATCGCCATTCACGGCACACACACACTCTGTTCCGCCGAGGCATGACGAGGACGGGGTAATCCCAAACGAGATTGCCCTGCTTATTCAGGTTGAGCCCATTCTACTTCTCCGTCTGTTGTCTTCGTCCAATAGGGTTTGTTTCGCAGGCACGCACGATTTATTTTAATTTTAAAATTAGAATTAGAAATTCTTAATTTGTTAACATTGCATACTTTCAACCCTTACCAGGTCAGATTCCCAACTTATCTGGCCTATATGTACATTTGAAGTTACTACTTTGCGTTTGAGATCCCAAGTCATTTCCAGTGCATCACCTTTTCCACTCGGAGGCATGATTCTGCAAATTATGGCCGTTGAAAAGACTCAACATTGACTTGAGGAATTCGTGGAGCAGTAGCAGAGAGTAAAGTCGGGCGAAAGTCATCTGTGAAAGATTTTCCCTCCGATCTTTCCTCTCCTTAGCTTTGGTGGGAAACCGTACCTGAACCTGTAATGAGTTAGCTATTGTTTATTGAAGATTTCAGGCGAATGTCACCTTTGAACAATTTCATCGGGGTCGTTGACGGGAGTTTCAGAGGCATTGTGTGGTGCTAAGTAAATCCTGCCAATTCGAATACAAAAGTTTGTCAGAGTAACTGGACCGATTTCAGTGAAAGTTTTTTTTTTTGCATGCTCGCAGAGCATTCATACTACGGATTTGCCTGTGCTTCTTCTAATCCCTTGCTTTCCCTTAATCGCTTGCATAAATTCATGGGAGAAGGAAGTACATTAGTTCTTATCTGTCCTTTCCATTAGGGTTCTTCCTAAACGATCGCGAGAGCACTTATGATGATTCACTCAGGTTATCTCTCCTCGCCCCATTCTGGCCAGGACAAAGAGGAGACGAAAGCTATGATGATGAAGAATTGGTACCTAACTCTTGGAGACGATGCTGCTCAACTCCCTCCCTTCTCAACTCTTCCATCCACAAATGAATGCCTGCCCCATTGCACACCGCGGAGTTCAGCATAAGAAAGAGTCCTAGCAAAAATTTTACGTTTAACCTGTATGTTGGAATGCCCTACCCTTCTACAATGCCTTTGTGCATCAGATTGCAGAGACGTAGCGAGGGTTCCTCCCTTCTGACTCCCATTTTTTTTATTATCGACTCATCTATGATCCATCACAGGCAAATTGGAGTTCTATGAATCTATCCGGGGAGTGAACATTTTTAATCCAGAATTCCCTCATGAGAGATATTAAGAAAAGCTTGGACTTGGGATGAGGAGTGCTGCAAAGGGCGTCGGGGCCAGGACGTCTTATTCTGCAACGTGGAGATGAACTGGTAGAGATCGGTTGCCTTCTTCCAATAAGGGAAGATCTTTTCTTCTAAAATTTCCTGGATGGTGTCCTCGTAAAAATAAGACTTACAGGTCGAGACGATATCCCGACCGAGTTCTTCCCACATTGTCTTTTGCCGTTTCAAGTCCTCGTATATATTCTGACCTCGACGAGCTGTCGCATACTCATGTCTAAACTGATAGTCAGAATACCAGGACTTCACCGCTGTTTCGACTGTTTTGTTTTGGAACCACGTTTCGAAACTTTCGATCCTCTTCCGAACGCTTTCGATCAATCGGTAAACGCTAGAGCCGGAAAAGGAGCAATTGCCAAAGGGGAAGTATCTGAAATCGAGTCCAAATTGGGTGCAATTGATGGATTTCAACGCTGTTCTGGTGACTTTAGCCCCAAGTTCCCCCCATTGCAGAAGGTGCAGGTTGAGGGCCAAGGACGGGATGCCTGCGGGGAAAAGTTCGCAGAGCAAAGCGAAATGGTCGAATCTTGACAATCCAGTTAAAGCAACTCCTTGAAGCTTTCTTTTCGAGTCGTATTTCATGCTTTGAACGACAGTCATCCAAGAGAAATGATTCCGAATCCGATCCTCCACATCCGGCAGGAGGGAGTTTGAGCCCTTGGCTCCCTTGAAAGCACTGGCAATCCAGAACGACTTGAAAATCGGATCATAATTCTGCCACACTTCAAGCGTCACTCTCCGGGTCACGTCATCGTAGGCCCAGATCATGGGCTCCACTAAAGGTCCTAGTTTCTTGATATCCTCGAATCGCATCGGTCGGAGCATGTCATCCCAGATGATCGGTGTCACCTTGTGGGTCGAGACAAGGAAATCTGCAATGCTGGTCACGTGCCTAATAAAAACCGTCGACTTGTCACTTCTGTTTTTGAGGTACCACACTTCATCGCACCCGATGTGTACGTGACTCAAGCGATATAATCCATGCAGTTTCAATACCTGGTTCAACATCTCCTTGATCAAGGTCTGAGATTTTTCGTTTGAGGAGTTGAAGGCATCCACCTCGCTTGGGTAGACGCGAAGGTGCTCGAACTCGGGATTCTTCAGCACAAACTCGACGTGACCGAAAGTTTGAACCAGAGGGATGACCTCTAAATTCAGCGTGGAGGCCCTAGATAATATCTGATGAACTTCTTCGACTTGGAAGTGATTCTTCGATGAGATCACCTCGAGGTACCCCGAGTATGGGAACATATCCTCCCATTCCAACAATATTCCCGTCCCACCCAAGGCTTTTACCAGATCCAAAGTCTCCAAGAAATAATTCAATTTTGGCGGCGCACCTTTGAGGTCCAGATGAACTAGTCGATGTCCCTGCAACGGTTCCAGCGTCACACTGGTAACGTTAGACATGGCTGATGTCAATTTTCCCGTTTTGATGCGATTGGCCCAGATGACCACGACATTCAGCACAACGAAGGACAGTACGGAATAGGTGATATATTTGCAGGTTGTGGTCCGATTCCAGGAAGATTGCTCGTCGTCGAGTGGACGATACTGAACGTTGTTCCCCATGATACGGTTTAAAGAGGAAAGAACACGAAGAGGAAACGCGAAGACACGCAGCAAACGACTGCGGCGAGATGATGGAAATATCCTCGAGTCACAGTGACTCAAACGAACCACTTATTCTACGAACGAAGGAGAAACTTTCCTTTTGTATCTTGGATATCTGATGTTATTGCGCAGTTTTTTTCGGGAAACAGGTAAAATAAATGATGACAACAATGGAAAGGACTGAGTAAGAACTGATTAAGAGGAAAAGGTAAAAAATGTAAAATTTCAGGTTAATAAAACGAATTAATTATAAAGCGAGAGAAGCAGCATTAGTATAGAAGGCAAGACGTAAAATATAAAAATAAATATGAAATAGAACCAGCTAAAATGCTCATAAAACGACCCTGTCAACGATAGCACCCCAAATCATATAAGTTTCATCTGCTGAGTACGTTTTTTTCTTTCTCATACGTGCAAAGCTGCAGGTAATGGCTACGGCATTAAAAATGTCAAACTTAGAAAACTGTTAGGAAGTCCATCCAGTCCGGTTTTTCAACTTTGATCGAAGAAATCCCGTTAGAGACATTTATGAAATTCATCGGCTACGCATCGGAGTTTTTGGCAATTGAGATGTCATTTAAAAAAAAAGGGATTCCAAAGTAGCTTTCGGAGAAATGATAGCACACTTCGAGCCATTTTGTACAGATGAGAGGATTGCCGGGGATCATTAGAGAGTGGCCTTAGATCTGCGTTTCATAAATCCAAGAGTACTGGCACTCCTCTCTCTAAACGAAGCACTCAGTCCCTCTCGGTCAGTCATATATCTGTGCGAGTGTCTAGAGTATGAAAAAATGTACCAGATCTTTGTTACAGGTGCTGAGGTATTCAAGTATGTAAAGTGCTGCAAGACTTTCTTGAAGATAACATACAATAAACGAGGAATTTGAGACTGCGATTCACTATCAGCGCCTGCCCCTAGAAAACGAAGGGTCTCTTTTTTGCCCACGCTACAATATCAATTCGGTACCTTGGAGGTGATCGATTTGGCAGAGCGGGAATCTCGGCGAACTGTCATGGTGATGATGATGTAAAGAGTGTCTCTAGGGCGCACTTTTGCGAGTCACATTAGAGATAAGGAAAGCGATCTTGTCCTGGAAAATTCCAGCCTTGACGTCTCCCACGTCGCCAGATTTCCAAGTGCATCTCACGGACACCACTTGGTACCTTCCACGTGATATCAAATGACAATTTCATATGGAATTCCTTCAAAATATCTTCATAATTGGTTCATTGGTTGCCCTAGGCTTAAACCCACCAAATTTCACGTTTTAGACTGATCCAACCAACGGTTGATAAATTTTCAAACACTCAAAATTTCATGAATGCCTCTCACTTTCTCCTGACTCAGTACAACTCAATAGCTGCTAATTTCTTTTACTTATTATCCGATGTCAATGAAACAAAGACCACTTTAATTAGAAAAGCAAATACAATTTTTTTTGTTTACTTCTTGGACACATTAACTCAATTATAAACCCAAAACCCAATTTATAGAATTAATTATGTTTTTTTTAATTATAAATATGCATCATGTAAATAAGTGATATTATGCAATAGATCTGCGTCAATGGACCCTTACACTTCGTCAAACTTCGGCAACTCCCAGAAGGAATAGACGTAGTGTTTTGTATGAGAATACATTTTGAATGCATTTCCCCCTTCCTTCCCCCCTCCCCCCCCCCCCGCCTGATTAAATGCTCCAGCTTCATTGAAATCGGACAGCCTGTAAGTTAGCAGCTGTTAATGAGTTATACTAAACCAAAAGAAAATTTGACTTTTCTTTAAAATTTGAAATGTCAAAACTTTTAAACTGTTCGTCGTATTAGGGTACAACTTCATACTTTGGTGGATTTGAACCAAACTCACCAATGGGTCATGAAATGAATAAAACCTGAAGGGATACGGCTTTCTCGATTGAATTTAAATGAAATAACACTATTAAGATTTCATCATATAAGAAAACCATTCTCGAGAAAGGACGAAAACATCTCGGATTATAAACATCGCATTTATTGCCTTTTCAATCGATGCTGTATTCTCACCAAGGAATCGGTGAATCGGTGATCAGTGCACGATTCATTGAGAGTGCGTGAAAAGTAAATGCGGTCCTAATTCTGAAATTAGACACAGAAATGTTCAATGCAGTTATACCTTACTTCAGATTCAAGAAACATTAATAGAAATTGCGCACACAACTACAAGATGAAGATAGGATCATTGGAGCCATCCAGTAAACCAGCAAAGACAGCTGAAATGCTTTCATCTGGATTAATACTCAACATCTATTGCAACGGTTTGATATTGCAATGTTGCTGAATCATGCGACACGTTGAAAAGAATTTTCGAAAAACGAGCACAATGGAGTGAATTAGAGGCAGTGTTTACGCTCCATAAGTGGGGGGTTCAAAAAGTTCTAAGCCTGAGGCACTTCCAGTTGCAATGCACCCTTTTTACCCTTCTCATGAGAAGACAGATATATTCCATGGTGACTGGCAAAATTTCATACTTGTCAATTGAAGATCGCTTCAATGAATTTTTTTCAATGTGCTACCAAAGGGTCAGCTAAAGTGGTATTAAAATTGAGATGAACGCTCATCTCAATTTTACCCCTATGCCAGTTACCATGGAAAAGACCTGTCTTCTCATGAGAAGGGTAAAAAAGGTGTATTGCAACTGGAAGTGCCTCAGTTAAAACTTTTTGAACCTCCTCACGTATATGTGGAGAGTTCTGGGAGATTCTCAAGTGAATTCGTTGGAAATCGTGGTTTACCCCTCCATGTTCAGAAGTTGTGATTCCTGCAATAAAATATGGGATTCCCTGAGATGGGGGGGGGGGGGGGTATCCACTCACATTCCAAGATTCTAATGGGGTTTATTTTAGCGAATAAAGCGAAAGCTTTGGGAGCTATGAGGGTATCATGTTTAGTCCATTGGAGTGAGAAGAGCTTCCCCGGTCTCTGGACGTGACTTTTTGCTCCTGAAATATGACAGGGGAAGCAATCAGACAAGGCCAGAAGACAATAATTGGAAACTGGACATTCATGTGCGACTCACTTGGAGATGTTCTTAGCCTCGTGAATGGTTTCTGGGAGTCGTCGCTTCGCGGTTTCGGGTAGAAGGAGAAGGAGGAGCCCTGAGATCAAGGAGCTAATCCCGAACACGCAAATCGGCAGCCATACATGGGACATTGCCTCACCCTGCACCACGATTTAGAATGAAAACGCATGCGAGAAACATCGAAAAGCCAGTCAGGATGATAGAACTATGTCATTACCAACATCGGTGTTATGCGGACGACAGGCATGGGTTGAATAATGAAGAGCACTACAGCTAGAAGATTGCATCGTATGCGGTACTATACGTTTACGTTCCCTTGGGCGAATTTCTCAAAAATACCGCACCGCAATACCTACCCTTACTGAAAGATGGAATGACTACGAATGACTAATGAATGACTACGAATTCCTTCGAATGACTACCCATGTAGTCATTCGAAGGAATGACTACGAATGACTAATGAATGACTACATGGATAATCAGAAATTAAGTGGAAATTGCGACGGCTGGATATCAACGAAGGTAAGGATTACATCACTGACGTTCTCTTCCATCAACTTGATGAGGTTTTACTCTGTTTTATTTTGCCATCCTTTATGCTTGTTTTTTTCCCCACCCCTTTTATTCTCTTTTTCATGTGCAGAGACGTCCCATCCCCAGAGTTCCCTTTATTACTCCGTATCTCTTCAGAAGTCCTCAAAATTGGACGAAGGTTGCATGAGCACTATAGAAAAAAAAATACATCCGATAGCAAAGGCAAATCTAGAACTGAGAAAGGAGAAATGGGGCTGCAAAGACGGCATGGAAATGAAATAAAAGTATGGTGAATAAAGCAGAGAAGCAGCAGGGAAAGCTTGAAGCTACCAAAAGAAGGATGTAGGGTGCGAGGATGGAGCCGAGCCTAGCGAAGGTGGAACACGCACCAAGGCCGACGGTCCTCACGGGGGTAGGCATCAACTCGGCCGTGAACACGTACACGATGGCAAAGGAGGACGAGATTCCGAATTTTCCCACCATCGCCAACGTCACAACCGGCCAATCGTAGTAATACACCCCTATAATAGAAAATTCACATCTCGTCAATTTTTTTAAAATGACAATTTATGAATTACGAACTTTGGCCGTGACCGCTTCTCAACCGCTTTTTACATACGGAAGAATATAGAGGAATTAGAACTTTCGAGCGAATGGCATTCTTACCTACAGTTGCTGATGGGATTAAATTCTCTATTTTCCGTCTTTTAGGCTTTAATCTGAGTAGGTGAACGGATTATGGATTAGAAATCTCGATTTCCTGCTTTATAATCCGAACCGAATTCCGGAGAGAGGGAATGAAAGGAGTATATATAATCTTGATCAGAACTATTCGCCCACAAGTATTCCTTTCTGTTATCAAACTCGAGAAACTGTCTTCACTTTCTGGGAAGACAGGGCCGGATCTAAAGTAACAGAAGAAAAAAAAAAGGCTTCGTAAGAATACGTAAGGAAATATAGAGAAATAATGGTCGCGAAAACTACGAGAACCTAACAAAAACGACCCGGACTGAAGTTTTCTCATCCATCCATTGAGTGAAAGCACGCCACCACGTGGTATCCTCCAAAATAGTCCCCTCTGTCAATCGCACTTTTTTTTCCAGCGGTCTTACACCTGCGTGAAACAAGGTTGCAGGCCATTTTATGAAACCACCTTCAGCACTGAACCTCTGGAAAAAAGTGTGTGACTGCCTAAGGGGACTACTTTAAAGGAGACCACGATGTGGAGTGATTTCCCTCAATAAATTGGTAAGAACTTTTTGATAAATCCTCGGATTCTCCAGAAGCTCGAGTGTCTGGCGGAGAGCCTCCAATGGATTTTTCAGCAGCACCCTCACCTGTCGCCTCGTTTGATCATTGAAGGATTTAAAAAATGGATATTAATATATTTAGTTAATATACAAAAGATTTCTGATCTTTCTTCTTGCCCATGAATCATATCATCTGATTTTGATTCTGAAGCGTGTCTGTATTTCCATGAACCCGCAACGCAGGGTAAAGCCAAAAGCTGATAGAAGAAAGAGTCAGAGCTGGGTATAAATAAACATAGATGATGAAAATGGGGTAGGAACTGCCTGAGATCCACCGCATGCAGCAATCCATAGGAAATTATGCAATGTTGAATGATTCTAAACGAATGTCCCCTCAGTAGAAGACAAGCATTGGGGACAGTACGAGCCTTTACACTGGTCTGGTCTAACTGCACTCATTCCTGTTTTGGAAAATCCGCGAGTCTCGGAAATATAAAATCGCAAATCATAACTCCATGGAAAGGATACAATTGATGTGGGTGAAAAGTTGAATGTGCTACTCTGACCTTTAGGAACGAGCAGAGCAAGGAGACAGGCCGATCCACCAATAATCATGGCGGCACTGAGGGGGAATCGCCTCCCGGTATATAAGAGCACGATGATGCTCAGCGCGTAGGCCGGAATCTCCACCGCACCTACAATGTTTGACGTCGTCAGACGAACGACTTCGAGGAATTTTTTCCTCGTCCACGAGAACATTTTCAAACTCCTACCAGCGATGGCGAAGTTGATGAATATCTCGCCTCCGATGTCTTGTGCGCTCAACGAGAGGCCGTAGTAAACAAAGGCATTGACGAACCAACAAAGGAAGAGGTTCAGAGTCATTTTACGAAGTCTCCGGGACGAGAGGAGGTCAATGCAAGTTCCACCCGATTTAGGACTCTCCTCACCTTCTGGGGTTCCAATCGGTCCCTCCAGGCTAGCCTCACCGCACGATGTCGAGTTCTGCTGGGTAAATTCAAGATTGGATAATCAAGGGGAATATAAAGCGGAATAAAAGAGCGCAAAGAGAGCACGAAGAGCACAAGTTTTAGCTGGTCATCTCCTGGACAAGGAGAAACGGACATTCTAACCTCCATACATGACCAACATATAGGAGTGGAAAAATCTGTTTCAATTAAATTTATTTCCTCACCACTCCCACCCCATCTGCTCACAGTCTGCAAATATATATGAAAGTTCTGTCGGTTTTCGAGGGTCGATTATTTCTGTTTCCCATATGCGAACTAAGCTGCACACACTTGTAAAAACTGGTTTTATGTTTTGGTAAGGGTTAGAGAGTAGGTTATAGAGTACATGAATTTAGCTTGACCGTTCAGTCCAAAATGAACTACTGTGCGTTTATCATGCCTGTGGATAAAGTGCATTTGAGACACTGTGTGCTTTATGAGTTTCAAAAATGAAACAACGCAACGACCGCAAGTAAAAATTTATGTGAAGTGCTTGAGGAGGACGTTATTACTGATCGCACGTGTCAAAGATGGTTTACCAGATTCCGTTCTGGTAACTTCAGTTTGGAGGATGAACCACGGTCTAGACGCTCCTTCGACGTCGATGACGATAAACTGCGGGCCTTCATTAAGGCATATCCTCGCCAAACATCTACAGAAATTGGTGAGAAACTTGGAATTTACCAAACAAATGTCCTAAAGCACATTCATCGGGTTGGTTTTTTTCTCAAGAGCAGCGCTTGGGTACCCCACGATTTGTCCGAAAAAACTTGCTTGATAGGGTCACCATATGTGTTGTGCATCGCGCCAGTCAACTCGCAGAGCCTTTTTTGGATCGATTGATTACTAGTGACGAAAAGTGGGTTCTCTACAACAACGTGCCACGAAAAAGACAATATTGTGCAGCAGGACAATCTCCTATTCCTACTCCAAAGCTCAAGCTCCACCAAAGCAAGGTTATGCTCTGTTGCTGGTGGGATTGTAAGGGAGTTGTCTACTATGAGCTTCTGAGATCCTACGAAACTGTTAATGTTGACCATTACTGCCTACAACTCGAAAATCTTAACTCAACTCTCACTATAAAGCGTCCATCGTTGGTATACAAAAGGGACGTCATATTCCTCTAAGGCAATGCGCGACCATATGTGGCGATGAAGACTTAACAAAAATTAAAGGAACTCAATTGGTAAATGCTTGCCCATCCAGCATATTCCCCAGACCTCGCACTGTCGGACTACCATTTGCTCTGATCGCTGCAGAACCATCTCTATGGAAAAAACGTCGCCTCTTTTGGAGCTGTCAAAACGGCCATTGAGAACTTCTTCGCATCGAAACCGGAAAAATGTTATGCGGATGGAATTGAAAAATTGCTGAACAGATGGGAGATAGTCATAACTAATAATGGAAATTATATGAAAGATTAAAGCAGTTAATAAACTAAGAAAAAAAAGCATCAGATAGTTTCACTTCAAAAACCGACAGAACTTTCGCTTAGACCCAATATATTTCACCACACCCTGCATAGAAGGTGTGGGTCATGAGGCAAGCATTTTATTTAGCTCATAAGCGACTGAAATGACCTGCTTCTGACATGTTTCAGTGATTCAGTCATTCATTTGGGGGGAAGCGCTGAGTAACGGGGTACACGCTGTAGGAGTGTAACTGTGTGCACTTAGCAGCCTGATCGGGAAAAGCTTGTAACCGACACGAATTGCGTGCAATAGTTGTACTGCATTTCCAGATATAAATCATCCCACTGGTTGTCCAGAACTATTACTATTCCTGTTTGCAACTCCTCCCCCCCCCCCCTCCCTTCCCCCCCGTTTTTCTGCTCAGCCCCCAAGATGAACATTACACTTCGAATTAGCATTTGCACTAAGCTGAATTGTTTCGTAGCCAGCAGCTAATACTTTACAGCAAATATTCCTAGCAACTAGTTTCTACGTATCAGGCAATAATGAACTTAAATATTTGCTTCAATTGGCCCTTGCCCTCCTACGATCTCCTTTATTCGGTGGCTGCAGGTTTTATGGGCTTGAGTGAGCAATCAAGTGAAGTCGTCTGTAGGCCTAGGCCTAATGACAGACATGAGGTTCAATTTAAATGGAATTTCAAACGTTATTGTAAAAAGGCGTAGTAACATTACATAATGGAGAAAACGCACCAGAATTAACGTCGCAAGTATTGCGACGTTCATTTAACGAACGTAACAAAAGAGCACAAGTTTACTCTATCTTCATGAGACTTATGAACGACGTCATCGCTGGCGTCCAATCTTCTTCAGTTTCACAGTAAGAAATTGGCACTGGATTGTAGTAGGGAAATTGTAGGCACCTGATTAGAAATCTTGAGGATGTCTTTCTCCAGTGGGACGTTGTTCATCCGAGCTGCGTCTATTAGAATCGTTTTTGCCTCTTCCGTCCGACCACGACTCAATAACCACCTTGGAGACTCGGGCAACAACCTGTATCGATCCGAAGCGAATTGCATTCACTTCCAGGAGTATGCAGTCTAGTATATAGACGGTATTCATGAAAATACTGTCATTCCAAAGAGATGAAGAGAATTGAGAACGACCGAGACTTCCGATTACTGGTTTTCGAAATTTCTGCCCATCTAATTTCAAGACTTCACAGTTCACATTCCCACATGATTCAAATGTGCACATTTGGCATCCAGGCCGTTAAATAAATTTAAAAATTACTAAACTAATAGGAAAGTACTGGACTTGACGATTGATAGGCTGAGATATATTCGATAGCTCATATATTAAGCGAAGAGTAGAACGAGTGCTTGGTGACGCACCACCAGTAGCTGGCTGTGAGAACAGACGGAATGGTGATAGCGATTTGTAGGTTGTACCAATCCCTGAGAAAATAGGCGAATCCTGCCAACATCATGTAGCCAATGGAAAAGGGAAAACAGAAGGCGATTCCGATCGTCGATCTCCATTTGCACCCCACCACTTCCATCACTGCAACGTCACCACATAAGGATCATTTATCCCTTAATATGTAGCTGATTTCGACTGGATCGTTTGAAAGCGAGCTTACCGAGGACGAAGGAGGCGGTGTACATGCCAGAGGCTGCCATGGCGACTGCGAAGTGCAGCATGATGAACATCCACATGTTGGTGACAAAGGCGGTTGCCAGACCCAGACACAACTTGATGGCACCGCAGATCAACAGAGTCGTCTTCCGTCCCCATCTGAAAAGAGATTTTTGAGGGAACAACTGTACTCTCGACTTTCTCCGACATGCTACTCCTTGTGATGGTGGCATTGTGGCAACTGAACCTTCCTAGAAGAGTGTGAGACTCAAAAACTCGTGAGCATGCACGAGTGGTTCAAGGTGGCCTTATTGCAGAGAGCTACCCCAATCTTAATTTATTCATTCAAGAGTCATTTGCACTGCTCGACAGAGGCTCTCAACAAACCGATTTTCAAATTGAACAGCCCACGCAGAAGAGCACTGTGAATGAGCAAGAAAATATTCTTGCAAGATGGGAAAATGAATGGTTCGAAATAAAAATAGCCCTCGTGGAGCAGCGGACAGCATGGACCCATTCGCCACTGAACGCCCAGCTGAGACTCCTGCCAGTCATCACGTGTTGCACACCGAATCGAGTCGAGGGAGCTCTCCAACGATATGCCATTTACTGTCGCACCTTGGTATTCTTAGCCATGTCAGAGAAAATAGTGATGCAATGAGGAACAGGGTAGTGCTCAGTTGTCTTTTTGGAAAGGTGTAGCGTCTGGAGTTGTCAAAGTCAATTGGGAAAAAAAAGAAAAATGGGACATCGACTGCAACCACTGACGTACGAGTAACTTTCAAAATCCAAGTTAAGTTCTTCCTTTCGTGAAGCTATCGCCTGAAATTCGGGCAAAGTTGGGGCACAAAGCTACGGTACCCTCTGGACTCAATTTATGCTACACGCAGAACTGAGAAAGTGCATATATGAAACATGTAGATTTTGAGAAGCTGAAGAATGGTACTTGACATGTAGCAGCGAGTTCTATTCCAGTCCCTCAAGTACATACTTCAATCACAACAGTAATCAGGATACAGTGGTACCTCGCATAACGAACGCAATTCGTTCCAGCGGTGCGTCACTTTCACTCGCGAACACCTCGCATAACGAACGCACCACTGGAACGAATTGCGTTCGTTATGCGAGGTACCACTGTATTCTTGCTCTCTTTCTGAGTCCTGCAGATAATGCAAGATGCTTGATGCTGATTCATAGGGCATTTATAATGCAATTTTTCAGGTAGACAGGGATGCAAGAGCCATGCTGATGAAACGGAATAGCAATGAGTTTATTTGGAGCTTTCTGAAAGTGTCATGCAGTCGTGGCTAATGAGAGAGCAGCGAATATCTTTCAGCCTATCCGCTAAGGCAATTAGACCCTATTGAAATATCAATATATGAGAACAGAGGATATACCGTTTACATTTTAAACTATGATGGTTGTAGTAAATTTAGAATGAGATGCGTGAACACAACGAAGTAAAAATGCAGGAAAAATTTATTTATATCTGTGATTTATGTGATACATATGTGTAAGTCGTACAGGCGGGGGGATTATGAAATTCACACTAACTTAACGTTCGCCTTGTGCAAGGATTAGTCACCGAAGCAGCATGATTTGTCAATGAAGGAGAAGGAAAACTTTTGAAGGTTCCATAATTGAATCCAATAGCAGGGATTGCACAGTCCATCTGCAAGCAAAACGAGGTCTTTGGGGGAGAAAATACATGAAGAATAGACTCATAGAGAGTGCATGACGTTTAGCAGACGAAACCTGTTCATTCCACAGGTGTCAGAAACTCATCCTTCCGACATTTTTTATTACGTCAGATGACTTCAAGCTAAATCCTGCCTCATATTGCAGGACAGTGTAAGAATCTTAGAGGATTACTTACGATCCCTCTTCCTTTATAAGGGGGGAAATCCCCCAAATTGTCCCCATTTGGCCGGAGAAGTCTCGCCGAGAATGCATCCTTTTCCCTGTAGATGGACAAATTGTCTCGAAATGCGCAGCAAATTTGTGAGCAGATTTGAGTGCAATGGGAGGGCCATGCAGGAGACAGCTCCAAGGACGATTATGCGTTCTGGATACTTCTCTCTGGCAATATCTTGCTTTAATGTTTGTCACTATCCTCGAAAGCTTGAAAGCCTGCCCTGAACACGCATCAAGAAAGCACCTTTCTCCTACAATGCTCAATAGTCACCAGAAAAAAATTCAAATTGAAACCGAAGTAGTGTAGGTAGAAGTGTACTATCATCCTGTAGTCCAGGGAGTTGCTTAAAATTGAAAAACGCAAAATGCCGTAATTATTTTCATAAGGCGGACGACAGAAAAAGTAGGACCTGTAAATGGGAGGATCGTGATTGTGTAACGTAGGCGCTATATAAAAGAAGGCAGCTTAGAACGAATGCTAATCAGCAGTAGTAGAATTAGTAGAATTTGCAAATGTATCAGCAGTAATAGTAGTAGTAGTAGTAGGTTAGTAGTACCATCAGAGGTGGTAGTACATAGAAATAGTAGTAGTAGTAGTAATTTTACTCGTATATACAGGTACTTGTAAATGTGGCACCTGTCAGAGACGAATCCGAAGAGAAGGCAGCCCACGAATTTGCCAGCCATGAACATCGCTTGAGCGGTCGAAGCAAGCCACCGATTCTCGCATACAAGGTTCCACTAAAGAGAAGATCCATTCATGCCACCAAACACCCATTTCCCTCCGATCAAACGCACACATGCCATTCCCCTTTTTTAAAATAGTGGATCCAAAAGGGAAAGGGGACCTTTACAGTTCTGTCCTGTCTTTTCTGTTTCAGTGGTGTATTTCAGGGGTATACGAGGGATTGGGGGGGGGGGGGGGGGGGGGGAGGGGGTGTTACAAATACAGGTACGTTTCCACGNGTGGGGGGGGGGGGGGGGGGGGGGGGGGGGTATACGACATAGAGGCAGGAAAACTTTCTTTTTCCAATTTGTTTTAACTAATAGATTATTGGCCTAAGCAGTCAAAGGGACATTGCCATCATTGCTTTTCATGCACGATACGGTAACGACTGTAGACTTCGAACGATGCTTTGCCTACTGATAGCAAGAAGGATAGAAAAATAATACTCACGAAAGAAGGAAATGAAACTAGCACACACTTCTCTGCTAACGGACTTGTAGGCAAGGGGACTAAAAGCCAGGTAGCAGCTGAAAGGAAGTACAAGAACTCAGAGTTATCATCTAAGAGAATTATTTCCACTTTCGCCTCCAAGGAATCTCGGTCTCGCTTTTAGATTGACTAATATCGCCAACTGTGGATTAGTTTTTGAATTATGAGGGGAGAAGGCGACTACCTTCTTCACGTTATTGGATTGTAGGTAAGACGAATCATGTGCGCATGTTTCTCACATGCCATAAATGAATTAGAATGAAAGCCTACGTTTCACTCCCCCCCCCCCCCCCAGGGAGAAGAATCAGCAATATATTAGGTTGTTGCAAAAGTCCTGTCGGTATTGACAACTTTATTTTCTCAACTTTAGAGCTTTGCAACAAGCGAGGCCTAATCGACCACATATTCGCCATAGTTGCAGATGACCTTCGTCCATCTTCTGGGCAGGTCATGGATGCCTTCTCTGTAGAAGGACTTGGGCTTCGAGGCGAAGAAGTCTGCGAGGCCGGTTTCCATGGCCTGTCGATTGGTGAAGCTCCTCCCAGCCAGGTGATTTTTCAGCGATCGGAATAGATGATAGTCAGAAGGGGCAAGGTCCGGGGAGTACGGTGGGTGACAGATCACTTCCCAGCCGTACCCCTGTAGCGTGCTGCGGGTGACGTTCGCGACGTGTGGGCGCGCGTTATCGTGTTGGAAAAACACGTGGCCTGCCCAGTAAGGATCGGAGTCCAGTTTCGCTTTGAGATTTGCCAGCTGAGTGGTGTAAATGCGGGCAGTGACCGTTGAGTTCTCTGGAAGCAGCTCCCAGTACTCAACTCCTCGTTCGCTCCACCAGATGCACAGCAACAGCTTCTTCGGGTGCAGACTGCCTTTTGGCTGTACTGGAGGCTTGGAACCGGAGCGCAGCCAGTGGTGTTTCCTCTTGGGAGTATCGTAGAGGACCCACGACTCATCCCCAGTAATGAGGTGATCGAGCCAAGCATGTGTCCGGCGCTTCGTCAAGAGTTCGGTGGCACAGTCGACCCGCCTGTCCTTGTTCGCCTGTGTAAGGTCGTGGGGCACATAACGGCCGAGCATATTCACTAAGCCGAGCTTGTCCAGGCCACGGGATACGGTGGAATAGTGGCAGGAGAGACTGCTTGCCGATCCGCGTGTGGTCTGCTGGCTGTTGCTCTCCAGCTCTGCTTTCAGGGCATCAGAATCCAACTCCGTCGGGCGTCCGGACCGCGGTCTGTCTTCAACATCGTAGTCTCCAGAAGAGAATTTGGCAAACCATCGTTCTACCGTGCGAAGACTTATGATGTCTCCGCCATAAACTGCGCACACTCGGCGATGAGCTTCCGTAGCTCTGACGCGAGAGTGGAAGTGGAAGAGAATGCAGTGACGGAGATGGATCTGCGTTGGCGTGAATTTCTCAGAGGCCATGAGAGATGATGGGATGAATGAGATACAACAGACTGTCCTTATATACCCATACCTACCACCCACTCGCCAGGAATTGTCAAAGCCTGGAAGTCTTATTAGAACATGTTACATTCAACACCGACAGGACTTTTGCAACAACCTAATACCTGGAGTTAGTATGAATTAACAAATTCGGAGGGGAGCTAATCCTGGAGAGATATATGTACACATGCCATAGTAACATGAGGGCAAGAGTCTTTGCAAGTGCAATGAAGATAACAAATTTTGAGTTGGTGTTTTTTGAAACGATCAGAACTGCCCATAGCGTTTCTAGGTGTTACTTCCATGACAAGATCCCAAGAAAGGTGTCAAGAGGAAACCGCCATTCGTTAGATGCATAATTTCGTCGAACACAGTATACTCTAACCCAATGATATTCTAATCGCGGCCCGTGAAGGCAACTTGTACTTTCCTCTGAAGTGGAATATTTTATTGCTTAGGTAAGCCATTTTATTTCAGTGCGGAACATGTAAGGTTGGTCACTTCAGGATGCGACCTCCGGCTCCAAGTTTGAGTACCACTGCTCTAATCCATTGTCTCTGGCAACGCGGTCGACCTTGTAAAGACTGCAGGTGCACGAAGAAAACAACGAAGTACAAGAACTTGAGACCTAGATCGGTTCTGGAATCTGGGATCGACTGCCCGAGATGTGAAAGTGTAACCTGGTTCTGCTTTCTGTTTATGACACGATGGAGATCCCATCGACCAAAACAACCTCGCATTGACTGAGGGTAATAATTATTCCTGTCTCCACAGAAACAGTCTCTAGGATCTAGGAGGGCGAGAATGGTAGACATGATTTAAAAGGGCTGCTGCTACCGCTCTTCCCCTTCTCTTCCTCCTCTCCATTCTCGTTATTCGATGTCTACTCCCTGGATCCCATTTCACATTTCACTGTTTACTCAAATCAGATTGACAAATACACCACTGTTCCCATTTTCGACGTAAAACAGCAAACAACTTTATGGAATTGAAAATTGGTTGACGGACACAAGTGGGAAAATGTAATCTCAATTCGCTTTGGGTGAGGTTGATGCCAAGAACAGACTTTTGATCGAGAACAGAGATATTTGCATTTAATCAACATTGGTTAAATTATGAAAGTAAACTGGAATTACTCTTGCATAAAGGAAAATAATTTTTTTTTTTGCAGGAGCTCCATGATGTGACAAGTCACTGATGCCAAAAGGGACGTTTATGAAAGAAAAGTGTCCTCAATCAAATCTCAATTCTGTCGTCAAATGTTTGCTACTTCCAGAGGTCATCTTCGCTTTATTGCTTCATAATTTACAATTGCATGAGAGCAAAGAAATGTTCCCGTACAAAATTCGCTGCAGAAGTCTCGGTAGTTGATGAAGCTGGACATTGCGTCATGCAATTCCTTTCGAGTGTAAAGTACGTTCATTGCGCACCGACACGGATCGACCTGCATGTCCTATTCCTTGGAATTGCACTAATCCACACCCATCGTGAAGACTAGCTGGCTAGTCATGGGCCCAGAGGATGAATGTTTACCAGGAAACATTCTGCTACACAGTTGATTGGATCTGTTTCACAATACTGTTTCACGATAAACATCGTGGGCATCGGTGAATCGTAATATCATGGAGCATCTATAGAGAAACAACTTTTTTTTTAAAACAATTTTCATTACGTTCACTATCTGTACAGTGCAAAATTAATGAGAAATAGCGTAGTGACCATTAGTACATTAGGGAAAAGTTGATGATGCAACTTGAGAAGGTAATGATTAGAAAAAGCAGCTATCGGCATTACTTTTGACAGTAATGTTAGATTGCCAGCGATGGCGAGTTATTAGAAGGAACGATAATAATGAAGGTAAGGATTCAATACGGAAGATTACAATGATCGTATTGTTGAAGTGTTCGATGGCGGCATGTTCGTTTCAAAAACAGACTTCGCTTTGCTGTCATGCAGAAGCAGGCACAAAGAAAGAGGGAAACTACTCATTAAAGAAATAGATTGAGGGGGAAAAAAGGCCACAGAAACTGCGGAAAAGAGGACGATAGGTTCTACCTTGCTGGTGATCGTTTCTCCAAACTTGGTCCGATCGAACTCATACTCCGTGCATGAAATTTTGGTTCGGTTTTCTGCCGGCAAGTTAAAACTTTCTGGATCGTACATTTCGCACCGACTGTTCTCCTCCTT